AGATCAACGCGGCAACAGACCCTCATATTATCTGCTGCGTCAACATATTTATTCTGTACCCAGCTACGAAGGCATATTACATCTGGCGCAACCGACAACGAGCTAAGATTTGGGATGCGATGACAACAGAGGTGAGTTCATCGTGAACTTTCTAAAGAGCTAGGGCTGGCGCTAAAGACTTGTTAAATGATAGGAACGTGCCCACTATCTGAGCACGACCAAGGATGTTGGAACAGAAGACTCGATTTCCGTTTTGCGCATTGATGACTTGTTCATATGTAGATTGATCAATGCGAGCTTGGGGTGCTAATAGCAAAGCCATTTTTGTGTGTCAGGAACCACATTGGTGAAGGCAGTGTGGAAATCCCCCTCAGACACTGCCCTTTCCCGAAAAATACGCAGGCCTTTCTAACGATACGAAAGAAAAGCCAGAATGAGTCGATCAGCACATCCTTGTGTCCCCTGTATGTGCAAGGCCGCAGGCCTTCACCACATACAATTCGATCGACAGACTGCGGCTGCTATGAGGGCGCAAGCACCTGATGAAATGAATTGTCGGTACGTGCTCTTGCGAATCAGCGGCAACATTCGAGTTCCACCCAGTCAGCTTTTCGATACATCGTTTAGTCGGACGACCGTGAATTCAGGCTCAGTGCTAGGTATAAACTGACAAGGAATCAAAGAATCAAATGGTACACTCGATATCGCAACAGTAAAATCTTCGCTACGTGGAACTAGCAGGAGTGCTGTTAGCAACTGCGAGGACAGATGTTGAACACTAGGAACTCACGCATCTCGGCAGCTCGACCAGCGCGTTCCATACGCCATGCGGCTCAAATCAAGCTGCGGATATCCTCTGGGGTCCCATCCATCACCCTGCAGCAAGAAAGGGGTTGAATTAGAATCATGGTGAGAGGCAGGTTCAAGCAGGTCAGAGGGGTTGGGCAAGGCGTGTTCCAGGCTGGATGAGGAGATGAAGCGATTGTTCCAAGTGTTGGTTTGCATGATACGGCTTTCTTGGGTGGTACGTGTGGCGCTTCGATGCAGCGAAAATGCGGAGGATTCTGGTTCTATGGGCTCGGAGCATGGCTTCACATTCACTGCATTCCACAGCCGCACAGTCTTCTCCTCCGAACCAGACGTGATGCGAGTACCATCCGGTGAGAACGAGACTGACACAACTGCTCCGGTGTGCCCCTCCAAGGGCTCACCCAATGGCTGTCTCGTCGCTGTATCCCACAGCCGCACAGTCTTATCCTCTGAACCAGACGCGATGCGAGTACTATCCGGTGAGAATGAAACTGATATCACTGCTCCAGTGTGCCTCTCCAAGGGCTCACCCAATGGCTGCCCTATCACCGCATCCCACAGTCGCAGTGTTATCGGATGAACTAGACGCGATGCGAGTACCATCTGGTGAGAACGCGACTGATATGACTGCTCCAGTGTGCCCCTCCAAGGGCTCACCTAATAGCTGTCCCGTCCCTACATCCCACAGCCGCACAGTTTTATCCTCCGAACCAGACGCGATGCGAGTACCATCCGGTGAAATTGAGACTAAGAAAACCGCTCCAGTGTGCCCTTCCAAGGGCTCACCCAATAGTTTTCCCGTCCCTACATTCCACAGCCGCACAGTCTTATCCCTAGAACTTGACGCGATGCGAGTATCCGCGAATTTGAGTAGAATGTAGATGTCTGATGGGGATTTGTGTTTGAGAGGGGTGATAAGACCCATGATACGTCCTATCAACTGATCAATGTGAACAGGGACCTTTTCAGTAAACAAATAAGTTCACCTGGATATGATATAGGTGCTGTTCCATGTCCTACAAACGTGCTGGAAGAGTTGATGTCATCGAGTTGAAAAAAAATAGACCAGACAAGACGTGCAGAGCGGGGAGGGAGTGTAGCACCTTCAAGTTGTCGAATGTGTGCCACGACCGTCGATGTAGCCCTGACGTATAGGAAGATGAACTTAGCACCGGTTGCAGACGAGATCTACACAGCAATAAGCTGTGAAGCGAACACAAGGATGACACATGGGGCACAACTTAAAAGATGCTTGAACGAACAGGTGCCCAACTTCCTCAACTCCCAACCAAATGCCCTCTGATCGGTGGCGACTGAGCGCTGGATTCGTCAAGACAGTACTTTTCGTGAGTAATATTCTCGGCTCTTCAACTGACGGCATGCTTACTACCAACTTCGAAAGATCTCTTGCATATTGTAATTTCACAAATAACGACGCAGCACCTCCTCCATAGACAGTCCCAAAATTAGAGTTCTGGGTGAGTGGATTCTGTAGTAAGTGAGCTGTTTTATTAGCATTGGCTTATGTGCTCCGAATTAAGGTGAAAAAGACAGGTTCCTAAACTCACCAGCAATTACTGCTGTTGCCAGATAACCTGACCTGATTCCAAGATCCCGCCTCCCATCAACATACCGAGCGCTAATCAACTATGTCTTCCTCCACCAGTGAGGTGCCTGCGATCACGCCACGTCAGACATTGCAAAGTCATACCGATTGGGTTAATGGTGTTGTACATCTGCATGCGAAACGACAGGTCATCACATGTTCCGGGGACCGTTCACTCCGACTATGGGACCTAGAGAGAGGCACACAGGTAGGAGAGGACTGGCGAGATGAAGAGGATAAGGCGAAAGTGCGGTCCATGGCATTGTCTCCAGATGGCAAGACAATTGCCAGTGGATGCTATGACAAGAAAGTAAGGTTATGGGACGTCGAGACGAAGAAGGTTATTGCCGAATGGTTAGGACACGCCGATCTTGTGTATGCATTGTGCTGGAGTGGAGATGGTAAACGAGTGCTGAGCGGGTCCTGGGACGGGACGGCAAGAGTCTGGGATGTCGAGAGCGGCGAAACTGTCCTAATGATCAAAACCGGGCACCAGTGGGTGAACGCGGTGATATACTCGCCCCATGCAACGAAAATTGCAACGGGCGGACTTGACGAGGATGCGGTCAAAATCTGGGATGCCAAGACAGGCGACCTGCTTCACACGCTCAAACACGATTATCAAGTTTTGAGCTTGGCATGGACATTGGACGGGAAGAGACTTATCTCCGGTTCACATGGCTCGATTAGGATATTCGACACAGCCACCTGGCAGGTGGCCGCAGTCCCTGACGGTCACCAATACTGGGTCTACTCCATCTCCTTGTCCGTCAATGGTCGTTTCCTTGCAAGTGCATCCGATGATAAGACAGCACGCCTGTGGAATCTTGACACCAACCTCCCTGTCGGTCTACCCCTCCAGCACGAAGATGAAGTAGACTGTGCAGCCCTTTCAACTGATGGAAAGCTGCTAGTTACTGGTTGCGAAAACACAAACGCGTACACATGGGATATTCAAGTCATCCTCAAAGAAGCTGGCCTTGAAGACCTCCTCCCACCTTTATCTGATGTAAAGCTTATGGTTATTCGGTGAAAATTGCGCTTATATCCCCCTTGCAGGTGGCAGCTCAAGAGCCATTAATGGATGTACGTGCTACACAGGCCGTGGATGATGAACTTTCACCAGACTTTTTCAATGACGTGACACATGGCGCTAATGTGTGTCATCAGCGTTTTTAATCGGTTCATGTTCTGACCTCTTGATCTCAGTCCTCTGGAACGTACGGTAACTATCACCGTTCATCTTCCCGCCGTCCTCGCCCTGTCGCACCCTCTTTTGGGAGTGCGAGTGTACTCTTCGGTCACCTTTCGTCGCCTTTCCGTCGCTCTCACTCCAACACCAATAGATTAACTGAGCTCCAGCAACGCCCAAGGCGGTTCATATTGTCTCGTGGTCCTCGTGTCGTCGAAGTGGCTGCAGTAAAGGACAGAGAGGTATGTATCTCTTCGCATGCATTTCCTATCATCATGATTTAATAATTTCTGTCCAGGTTATATTCACTGCTCCGCCACCGCCACCAGAAAAAAAGCAGCAGGAAACCCAACCACAAGCCCTGAGGTCGTCCACGTCACAGCCTGCTCCAAGCACTAATCCTACTACACCAAGTGCAAGATATAAGCATTCACTACCCGTCCGATTATTGGCTCGTCTCGCGCTTCTTTTTTGTTGCGCATCACCTCAGCACGCTAATGAAAATGCACAACCAACGCAGCAGCAGCAAGGCCAAGCCCAGCCCCAGGCGCCACCATCACAGACTCAGCCTACTGCCCCCTAGGAGGCCGTGACACCTGTTGCTCTTGATAGTACTCATACCGCCGCGCCAGACGTAGCAAGCGTGTAGCTATGACCCCTTCCATTATGGACTCGTTCGTTCTTTTTTCTGCCGTGCATTGACACTGCAACATATGGACAGTTATCTCATCTTGTCATCTTCTGGTTCATCTGTCATTTGTGTTATCTCATTGTTCACGCCGAGGGTGTATGTATTTGATCTTCACGACCTCCTCAATTTCAGGTTGCTTTCAATGCTATACCGTGAAGCCTCCATTTCAATCCCAGGCAGTTGCTAGATACATGCAAATCCTGGTGCTGCACATCTCGTGCACCAGTCATCCTGTCCGCATCTAATCCTTGGGTACCCCGTGGTAAGTATTCGCAGTATTCCGCCTCGGACTGAATTGTTTCCTCCCCGAATTGCACATGCACACCCCAACCGCATTTCCTGCAATTCACCCATGCTGCCGAGTCAGTTTCAACATACTATACTGATCTCATAGCAATTTCCCGTTATATATGATGATATATCGGAACTGGTTTGAGGGGAGGAGTTTAGACTGGTCCCAAGCTTGAGTTCGCTCATCCATAGATATTCACAATACCTTCCGCCGCTCCCACTCTAATACCGATGGATAGAGCAACCGAAATCCTGAAGACAGTCCATCTGTACTCGCAGTCCTCGTATTGTCGGGCTTGCTACGGTACAATACTGACAGGTGTGTGCTCCTTCACCGTCGTCGTGGTTTAATAATTTTGTTCCAGTTGCACTACGGCCAGAGAACGCAGCAACAATGGCAAAGCTGGCTTACAAGCAAGCCTTGTCGTTGCAATCTCAGCCTAGCGCCACCTCGCCGTCCACCACACCTCGTGGTGGAGCATCCGAGCAGTCACACCCGTCATATTGTGAGCTCGTCTTGTGCTTGTTCTTTACTGTGCATCTCCCCCACATGACTCGTAGAGTTTCTTTCATGTTTCCACTTACTCAGATAATTTGTTTCCTCATCATGGGGCTCTTGTAGTGCATCGGACTTCGCAATGCTAACTATTGTGAGCGAAGGACAGTTCGATCGCTCGTGTTCTTTTCCTTTAGATCAGAAGGGAGTTTCTGCTACCACGACCTCAAGCATCTCAACCAGATCAGAGAACAGCGTCATAATCATGAAACAGACTGTCTGCGTTCTACGCGACTTCGCTATCAATGATCTGTTAAGCGCCATCCCGTAGTAAGTTTGTATATCTTTAGATGCATCTCGAGGGCAGACACTTATTTCTTCCGGCGCTCAATACCCCAAATATTCAGCGTTGCGGTCATCACCATACATTTAGGCTGTTACTCTCCGCCAAGATAGAGATTTTTCGTGTGTACAACCTGGTGGTTATCTCGGGTTTCTACAAGTCCGAAACGTATCTCGACACCTTCATCAGGTGATCTCTCACGAACACGTTCCTCTCCCTTATCATTTTCTCTATTCCTCGTTTCTCTGTCTAGGAGAAAGGAGCTACACAAATACCTATCAGACCATAGTGGATGCCATAGCACTAGAACATGCGCCTTCCACAGATCAGCCATAGTACCTGTGGTTGTTGTCCTCGACAGTGATTAGGATGGTGACGGTCAATCAATAGAAGCCAGCGTTGCTCCGAATCAACCAGACATGCTCGCAATGCGAGGGCAGGATGAATGAATGATTTCGGATCCATGTGGTTCGTTCTGGGAGAAGATTGCCGTGACGACAAGTAGTGGTAGGCAGGAATTAATTTGTGGCTGAAAAAAAAGCATGTGCTCCCTCCGCTCTATGGAGACTAAATGAAGTATCAGCGCAAGAAAGAAAAACAGCTGAACTCCCGGTCTAGAAACGAGAAAGCGAAGGCAGTATATTACACACCGGATGTCCGCATTACCTCCGGGAGGCATGCCAACACGAAAAGATGTGTGGTAGACGGTTTGACAATAAAAAACTCGCCAGCGACCATCAAGATGTTGTACAAGACACTCAGCAAGAAGGCCGCAAGAAGAGTAGCAGGGCGTGTGATGCATCGAAGTTCATATATACAGATGGACGGAATGGTGGTTATCACCACGACATCTAGATCCACTTGGGTGAGACGCCCACGATGGGCCACAAATGTTACAGCGACCCAATGGGACCTGCTCATCTCCCGAGGTACCCCATGAGAGCACAGAGAGCTGCCATGCAAACGATATAGTTCGGAGATCCTAACATGTATGACTGGGTATTTCCACGAGGCTTAATCAATAGTAGACTCAAAAGCCTCGTGTAGGTCTATAAAATGGTTAAAAACTGTGTACTGCGGGATGAAATAGTTGCAAACACACTGTTGATCAGCTTTTTGGTAACTTTAAAGCCTCCTTTGCAGCTTTCTTGCGTCCGCCCATAAGTAATGTCACATAGTCCGCACCTCCGAGAACACGTTCTCCCGTAACCTTGCTTGATGACGGTTTTGACTTTGACTTTGACTTGAGATCTGCGCGTCTCCTTGCGGCTTGTACGTGCGATGATACTACAGGTGCATTCGGTGTATTAGCAGCGCCGGATGAAGGGTGTGACGCAGATGATGCAGTTGTCTTCTTTTTCTAAGAAGACTTCATTATTACTAGAAGACGGGAATGAAAATTGATCGTCGACGACTCACGATGCGTTTGTGCAGCTTTGCGTTCCGCCCCATCTTGATGGTCTGTGGAAGGAGACAGCGCTCGGTGGCAGTGCTCACACAATTTTCGGCAACTAGATCTTAGATCTAAGCGCTAGCACCAAGCACTGGGCACCTCTCGTTCGTTTCTCGGTCTTTCTTGGTTGCACATTTCACTTTCCACATATTCCACCAGTGGACGCAGGTAGCACAATTCTGCGAGCGATCAAGATTTTTTGAACAGAAAATTTGTCTCTTATCCAATGGGTCTGTCACATTAATTATGCATTGGACATGATGTGTTTGGTTTTTGAATTTGACTATGGGCACCCATATCAAATCATCTCTCACATTTTTGACCAACTCACTCACCGCCAGGCCTGGGCCTGCATACGACACGCACCATTGGTGCTATTTGCTTTACCTGCTCGAAAAAAGACGACAATGAATGTTACCGGCGCCTGCCTTCGTCTCGATACCCTTCGCCGTGACCAACAATCGTATATCGTCCAATAATTACAAGGAACTTCATTGGACGTATTGTTCAGCTTCCTGTGTGCTCCTATTCCTACTGCTGATCCTCTTCTCCCTCTCCGTAGATTCCACAACATTCATCGATTTTTCTTCAAAGATCTGGTGTTTGGATCAAATGATGACTCGACACGCTCAGGTCCTCAATCCTGATATGACACCCGATAGCAGCTTTTGGTACAATTCACCCTACATTCTTGAATAATCCGGGAAGGTGCCAATTTCGAATATCGAGTCCTATCCTCCAGTAACAAGTAGCACCGTGACCAATGAGAAGTACCTGCCGTCTTCTCATACCAAGAATGATAATGGTGAATTTGTATGCTCTCCATAGGAGACTGGAAAAGTTTCACACGTCCGTCCACCACAGACATACATAAATGAACATGAATCTTGCAAACTTGTGACCTCCGAGCTGAACTCTCTGACATGAACCGTGCAGTCTCGACTTCGTCAAAGATGTAGGCACAGGTACTGGCGTGAATGACGGAAACTCTGTCGCATTTTCTAGGGAGTTGATTGGTTTCTGACCTCCTTGCAGACTCGCCTGTGAAAGCTGGCCCGTAGGAATAATCAGAACGAAGTTCAAGCCAACGGGAACCCACTAATGCGAATTGTCTTGCCAGCCTGACAGACTGTGCAAAGAAGCCATGGGAGAGGCATCTTCTGTATGCCATGATGCCAGCGTGCAGCGTGCAGCGCGCCCAAGTCCCTTCACTGCAAATGGTCCCGTCAGATTTCAAACGTCCATCAGCGCGTCCTTGTGTCTCTGTACCTGCGAGGTCGCAGCCACTTGATGACAGACACTTCGATCGAAAGATTGCGGCTGCCATGTGATGACATCTCAGAACAGGAACATCGCCTCTCAACATCTGCATGAATTTCTGAGGGCGAAACATGCCTGATAAAATTAGTTTTCGGTACGAATTAAGGACGACATCTGGAGTTTCGGCCAATCTGCTTTCCAGCACATCGTTCAGTTGGACTTAGGCTCGGTGCTAGGTATAAAATTGACAAAAAATCAAATGGTACACTCAGTATTACAACAATAGAATTATCGTCAGGTGGAGCTAGTAGGAATGATGTTAGCAACTGAGAAGACGGATGGTAAGGACTAAGAACTCACACATCTCGGCAACTCGACCAATGCGTCCCATGTGCCATGCGGCTCAAATCAAGCTCAGGATGTCCTCTGGGTATCACCATTGAAGTCAAAGGAGTATAAAATGCATGTTGGGAAGCGGGAGGTATCCAGAAAAGGAGCCGATGCTTGGGTCCCATCACCCATCCATCACCCTGCAGCAAGAAAGGAGTTGAATTAGAATCAAGATGAGAGGTAGGTTCGAGCAAGTCAGCGGGGTTGGGCAGAGCGTGTTCCTGGCTGGACGAAAAGGAAATGATGCGATTGTTACAAGTGTTGGTTGGCATGATACGGCTTTCTTGGGCGGGAGGTGCGATGCTTTGATGCAGCGGAGATGAAGAGGAATCTGGCTCTCTTGACCCAGGAGATGGCTGTCCCGTCGCTGCATCCCACAGCCGCACAGTGTCATCGTACGAACCAGACGCGAGTACCATCCGGCGAGAACGAGACTGACAAAACTCCTTCAGTGTGCCCCTCCAAGGGCTCACCCAATGGCTGTCCCGTCCCTGCATCCCACAGCCGCACTGTTATCGTGCGAACCAGACGCGATGCGAGTACCATCCGGCGAGAACGAGACCGACGAAACCGCTCCAGTGTGCCCCTCCAAGGGCTCACCCAATGGCCGTCCCGTCCCTGCATCCCACAGCCGCACAGTGTTATCGTACGAGCCAGACGCGATGCGAGTACCATCCGGCGAGAACGAGACTGACGAAACTGCTCCAGTGTGCCCCTCCGAAGGCTCACCTAATGGCCGTCCCGTCCCTGCATCCCACAGCCGCACAGTGCCATCGTACGAACCAGACGCGATGCGAGTACCATCTGGCGAGAACGAGACTGACAAAACTGCTCCAGTGTGCCCCTCCAAGGGCCCACCTAATGTCTGTCCCGTCCCTGCATCCCACAGCCGCACAGTGTTATCGTACGAGCCAGACACGATGCGAGTACCATCCGGCGAGGACGAGACTGACCAAACTTCTCCAGTGTGCCCCTCCAAGGGCTCACCTAATGGCTGTCCCGTCCTTGCATCCCACAGCTGCACAGTGTTATCGCGCGAACCAGACGTGATGCGAGTACCATCCGGCGAGAACGAGACTGAAAAAACCGGTGCAGTGTGCCCATTGATTACGGCCTGAACAACCGTCCAGTTCAAATCACGGCCAGATACCAGACGAAGGTTGTTTGGAAATCTTCTCGTAAATTTGGTAGCCATGATGGAATTGACGGGCGAGAATGGGAGCGCTGATACATACAGATGTGGCGTGCTGTGCAAAATCATGCCGCCAAACACTTGAATGAATCTTTGTACATCCATCATGCTGGACCGCAGTTCTTCGTATCCAGGATGACCCTGTATTTGTTTATGAGCTGTTCATCCAACACTACCTCGTAGGTATTATGTGCTTACCTTCAGCCACTTGGCAACGAGTGCAAGCACAGTAACGGCACCGCTGATTGCATTGAGAAGTCCGAGTGATTCAATCCAGAACATCAGTCGCTCATTGTCGGAGAGTAATTTTATTTCCTTTGCTAGTTTATCGTCAAAGTCTGTTATTTGAACATGTGTGGCCCAATATCGACAGGAATAGGAGAGAAGTGGGAGAATGGATGTTTTGACTCGTTGAGGCAGTTCTGTATCCTGGGAATTAGGGAGGTACGACGATTTCAAATCACAGATGTTGAAGCGAAGGCCATCTTTTCGGGCCATCATCACTCGCAGTGACGCGAATGCAAGGTTGCGTTGTTGCGCCTTCGTTCTCTGGACGAAGAAGTCTCCGCTGGATGATTTGTCCGTGAGGAATTCTTGAAAGGTCGCATGAAGGGGTCGGACGGGGGTATGTGAGTCGGTAGTGCCGCTGAGGAGGGATCCCATGCGCTTTACCACTACGTCTACTTCGTAAAGGTCGTGGTCCTCCGGGAAATGCTGCCGCATAGCATTCAGTGAAGCTAAAGGGAGGGGTTCGGCTGTGGCAAGTATTTGTCCCATCACAGAACGAAACTTCGCTACTGCTTGCTCGTAATGAGCCGTTGTGTACTTATCCTTTGGCATGATTTCTGTTAAGATGAGTCGATACATATCATACAACAAGTTTTTCCGCTCCCCAGGATTGCGATTCACGACAGCATTGAAACAGTCCGTTGGGGATAAGCCGGGAAGCTCTTCCGTAATGTATTCGCATGCAAGACGTGCCCACTCGAAAAGTCCATCAGCTTTCGCAGCGAGGTCTGCAAACTCTTGGCGCCCAAAATGCGGCAGACCTTTTAGCTTGTCAGATACAAAAGCATGGATGTCGGACTCCGCTACTTCTGCTGGAATCTTGTCCATGGACAAGGGTAGAATATGATTAACACCTTCAAACTCCTTTTCGATGTCATGAAGGGGGCGAGAGGTGACGAGAATACGAAAGTTGGAAGGGAGTTCATTGATTTGGGGAAGCCCTTTGTCTTGAAGTCTACCGGCAAGTATGCGGAGGAGGTTACGCCGTGTCTCCACTCCACCACTCTCATCTAGTGCTTCGATCACTATCAAAACGGGCCCCACACTTGACGCAGAGAGCTTCTTTAGCGGTTCTATGAGAAGCTTGCGCCACTGCTGGATGATGTCCGTCGTATTCTTGAGTGAGTTTGCATTCTTGACTACGTCCGCTAACGCTCGTTTCATTCCCGGATCACGATCAGCAAGATCGCGCGCGATGGTAGAGAAAATCTTTTCATGACGACGGTCTGCTTCTCTATGCCGATCGAAACAAAAACATGAACCAAGGCCTCCCGTTTCCTCGAACCAGTTGGCAATCGTGTGCGCGATGGCTGATTTGCCCTTGCCTGCAGGGCCGGATAGCCACATTACACGCGGAACAGAATCTCCGCTGCTGTTGATCCACTCGGTGATTTGGGAGAGAATCTCCATGCGAGTACCTGGCAGACATTGTTTCGCAGTATCTAGTCCCGCACCCGCAGCATAAGTCATGCCGCCAAGATCGAGTGTTTCACCTTTAAGGGTATGAGTGGATCTAAAGTGGGAAACATACATGAATCCTCACCCGCAAACTGGACAAATATAGCTACGTCCCGATGAGCTCGATCCCGAAATTGTTGCATAAGTTCATCCAGGGCGTTGTTGTACCGTGCGATGATATCATCCGTTTCTGCAACGATGTTTTTACCAACTCTCTTCCCTATTATCATAGTGAGCATCAGATTCATGTGCGAATGCAACAGTTCGACGACTCACAGAAGCTCTTTGTCTTCGAGTAATCCCTGATGAAACGGGCACACTCGAGAGTCTGCTGAGCGATCTTTCCGATGACATCATGCATCGATTCAACCTTGGAAAGATTATCATCTTGGGTAACGAAGCCAAAAACTTCATCTAATTTCTGGAGAAGACGATGCACCGATTCATCGCGTTCCGCTTGAGCAAGAACAATCTGCAAAGAACCATAACTTCTGAGCGGGAGACAGATCTCCGGGAAACATAGAACGTACTTTAGCTGCAGCAGAAAGTATGCCCAACGCCATCTTTGCATATGGATGTACCTATAACCTGATTAGTTTGCTACCAACTAAGGAGGGCAGCCCATACATTTGCGATCTTTTCAATGACAGTGTCAAAAATTTTCAGGGGTTGGAGGTAATTAGTCTGGAAATCATCTGCAGCAGTGAGACCTGCTTGGGCATTGTTGGCGGCGGATGTCACAGATTGCGCAGGTCCCCCGAGTGTTTGCATGTGTTCTGAAGTCTCGTGGGCACCCTGAAGTTCAGCGTCAACTGATTTGGAACCAATGCCTTCCTCTACGCCAGAGGGGATGTCGAGCTGCGCGACCAACAAAATTTAGAGACAAAAACCATAGATTGTGATTCGAGTACCTTCGAAGCAGGTTCTCCGGATGTGCCTTGGTTGACCCTGATATTCTGATTCGACGAAGCATCTTGAAGTTCGACATTTTGGATCGCAGGAGTACGCTTACGGGAACACTTGAAGCGTTTCTGCACGATTTCAGCCTTATTCAGAATCAGGAAATCCAGTAGTCTACTTACAGAAAGTTTCTTGGTGACGCCTTTCGCAAATTTCCGCACAGCCTGCTTAACTTGACTACGGGGTTGGTTCTGGACGAAGAAAGTGACAAAAGTAGCGATGAATTTCATGAGCGCCAATCCATAGTGCGTAAGCCTTTGAGACTACATACCGAGCTTTCGCGAACAATTACTTCGCAGGTTTCTGGAGAAGGATCTGGCCTATGGTCTCCCGAGTCACACATCACGAATGGTTAATTACTGCGAACGAAGTGAGGGTGCAAGAAGTAGGTGGGAGAAAGGAGAGACCTCTGACATGAGCCAAATACCCTTGACCAAAGCATGAACAACACTAATTCTTGAAGCGCTCATCATAATTAGGTTCATCGCCGAAGGAATAAGGAAGCATAAGGTTTTGAAGGGGCAATGCCATATATCTAGCCAAACCTTATCACAGAAACGATGGATGCTGATCGAAATGCATATGAACAATGATAGTGCATGATTGATTCACGAGCGTGCTACACCGTCAAGTACATATACAGGCGATCAAGATTCTTGTTCCACATTCAGAATTTTCAGAGCAGGTAAGTAGTACTACTCACTGACATCAATTATTAGAGTCTTTTGTCATAGGTACCGTCATGACCGGTGACACCACCAACGACGGCAGTCATAGTAGTTCAAGTTAACTGTTACACAGAAATTGAACATGACTTGCTTAGTAAGCATTCAAGTCAGTTTTTAGCGCTCACATCCAAGCGTCCGAGTCCGACCCATCTGTCCCAGCAGTCTAATCCAGCATACCCTAAACAAACAATTCGATGGCTGGTCTGTGCAGCGTGTACAAGTTTGTGCAGACTTCAGGTAATAGCTGAGTATGACAGTTCGAAAACGCCAGAGATCAAATTCACAGTCACGATGCACAACCGCCAGTCGGGACTAACTTTATCCTTGCTTAGGTCGCGCAGACTTGTACCTAGACCGGCCAGAACTCTTATATTTGCAAGTGATCGGCAGCGTTGGGTAATCATATCTTGAACACCAGTGAACAGCACTGAGTACCCTCTGACCAGGCTTTGCATATCCGCACGACCTTATGGCTCCGGGTGTTCTGCACTGACTCCGTAGTTTCGATGATGGAAGCTCCAGCAAGGTGCCAATGCAACTCATCAATGACCTCTGGTAATTAGCAACTCGAGAGTCGATTGCTAGTGTACCAACTCTGATTTTCTTGTGGAGGTGAGCTTGAAAGTTTTGTAATCGGAATGGTGACTGTGCCCTCTTACAGCAATGGGAGTGTCGTTTTATTCACAGTTGATTGGTTTCGGCGCGCGAAGAAATTTTACGCCAGATGCTGGTGCGCAATACACCTGGCTAAACACATCAATTACAATTATGCGGCAGCAAGTGGGCTTAGTATTGTTGTGCATTGGAGGTACGGTGCGTAGTACATACCTTGACAGCTGTTCTCCTCCCAGGATCCGTCCGTAATTATCGACGGCCGTTGGTACTGGTTGCAGTGTTGTTTGAACGCTGACCCCGTTACCATATCTTCTGGAATCCAAGGACAACACTCCTTATGATTGGTTTTACCCGAGTGGGGCTCGATTTAGACCCGTGTGATCACCACGGTTGACACACGATTATACCGGAAGCTTGATTATCATCATTGAAAAGCACATGGTCCCAAGAGTTCACCAGTGCAGTGGAGATTCAGCGGAGATAAGTACATTGATCATGCTTTGTCCGGTACAATGGTCTTCGGGGTACTCGTTTCACTTGCCGTCACTTGCTGTTTGTCCCATCCGGATCCTCCCAGCATCACGCCTTCGTGATTGCTATCATTATCTGTTTACTGTATGGTTAGATCGACAGCGCTTGGCTGGAGATTGATCACACGCAAGCCAACTTTGTGCCTCCCGAAACAGCAATGATCCAACATTGGCCTACCAACTGCATTGGGGACAATCGGCTCCGATGTATTCCTTCCAAAATCTATCACTGTCTTCGCGGTCGATGTGTAGATGAATTGTGTACGATATTTGTAAACCATTATAGCTGTTGAATTCAGGTTTCTCCTGTGCTCTTAGCTTGAATGTCGCAATTATATGCTGAGATTGACTGAGTTGTTATGCTATCACACATTGCAACTAAGTACATGCGGTAACAGATCGTGGTCCGTGTGGTACAGTGTAACAAAATACTTGTGCAGTTGACGTTGATATTTCTCAACTGCACTGAGGGCTTTGAAACATGCATGACAATGGCCAATCTAACATCAAGCAGTTGGGAGGACATATGTAGATTGGGGTCGAGACCCAAGTCCACTCTGCATGTCCAATTAGACAAACCATCGCCGAGATGTGACACTCACTCACCTCTTCATAGATTTTCTCTATCCATTCCATATTTGCAATGGAGTCCTCAGGGCTCACCCAGGTTTGTGGTGTTCGGCCCTTAACCTTGTCTACAAAAGCTTCCAGCTGGTACCTGTAGGTGGACCACCACTCCTCTCCTTTACCACCCTCGAACGTGTATGCTCTCTCGGTCCTCGGAACGTCACCGTCAGGTCTCACAGTGATAGAATGGTAAATCACTGGCATCACGAAGTTGAACACATCGATGGAGCCACGTTCACAAACTGCGTGGACGGAAATTTCTGGCCAGTGAGGGATAAAGCCCCATCGGGGAGGGACGGCGAAGTCGCATCTGATAGTGGACCTCACTGGCTCCTCGTCAGGCTTCGAGGAAGCAAAAGTGAGATTGGCAGTGGTGCCTGTATCAATACGTGGATCTCTTGGGTACCGTACCGCGGTTGCGGACATCACCGCAGTAGGGTTGCTTGATGCAAGATAACGAACACAGCTTAAAGGATAACCTTGTAATATCATGTTAGAAGGGCCCATCGTAGGAGAAAGGGGAAGCTGACATCCGCAATCCATCATCGCACCGCCACCAAGATCGTATTTCATCCGGATATCATCATCGTTGCCAGCCATACCCTTCGGGAGCGTAAGAGCTGCATTTACCTCCTTGATAGCACCCAGTTCGCCATTGTCAATGATGGCCCTGACACGTTGAATAGCAGGGTGAAACCTGATATACGTCAAGACAGTGCTTTGTTACGATCAGAAAGACACTTACCTATAGTGGAATGCCTCAAGAAGAACGAGCCCCTTCTGGTCCGCGAGAGAAAACATGCGCCTCGTTTCTTCGGCGGTATTACCACTGGGCTTCTCCAAGAGCACATGTTTTCCGGCAGCAAGAGCCTTCATTGTCCATTCGTAATGTAAACCATTAGGCAGCTAACGGGCCCTTAGTCACAGAAACTTCGCACGCAACGGCATTCAATTGGCACGCACGGGGTTGTAGACCATGTCTACTGCGGGGTCATCAAGAAGGTCTGTCATGCAGCAGTAAACACAAAGGGTGCCACTCTATCAACATGTTGTCTAGCTTACCTTGGTATCCATCTTTCCCTCCATACCACTTCTTGAAACCATGCTTCTTCGCGAAATTCTCGGCACGACTGATGTCTCGCGCTGCAACAGCATAAAGCTCTACCTCCGGATGGCTTTTCGCAGGCAGAACAAGAGCATGAGGAGAAATTGCGGCCGCCCCTAGAAGACCAATTTTGAGGGGAGGAGAAGCATCTTTATCTTCCACGTTGGGTGGGTGAGGTGGACTAATGAAAGCCTGCGATAAAAACAGTGAGATAGTACGGCTAGTCCTAGTATGATCTGTACTGGAAACCGACTTACCGCATAAACGCGCTTGAACACACCAAAGATGAAGAACATGATAGGCAAGTGTTGCAATGTAAGGTCACGGTGAGAGAGTCCGGTCACCTACTGTTTCCGGCCAATCTGGTCAAGGCTGTGACAGTGTTTCTCAGAATCAAAATTCACATCTGATTAGTACCAGTCTTCAAGCTTCAATGATAATTGACGATTAACACTTCAGAGCGAAAGCGGACTTGTGAGAAGGTCGGCGGTACAACCAAATTTACCTAGTAGAATAATTAATCATTGCCTGTTATATAGGGGCTATTGATGGCTGTTTGTAACCGAACTATTAATGTCAGAACGCTAGCTAGGACTTGCCGAGGCAAGGTCAAGACTGTTGTGCACTTTGGGGCAACTAGTGGAACATTGGTGTCCTGTGATGCCCTAGTGACGTGTTCTGTGATGCTCCGAGTTGACAGCATAAGTACCCGAAGAACGAGGGCAATGCGTGGTTTCGGGTGCAGTACGTACGTCGTGACGCAGATTTAGTCCTACTTCACCACTCCACGAACCTTGTCTCTCTTAGCTCGCCATGGCTAGTGACGTGTCCTTTGATGCTCCGAGTCCCCAGTGTCGGTTGGCTTGTATTTATTCTAGTACGCAGTACATCTGTCTTATATAGCACCTTCAAGAAGTAATGTCCCTCTTTTGAATACTACACTAAAAGTACAGTTATGTTATGTAACTTGTACATGACTCAACGATTTGATAGTGATGACATCATTGACATTGTTTACATAAATTCACTGGCACAGTGCGCCAAGGAGAGAACAGGTGAAAGCCCTCCAACGGAGCAAGAGACATCAAGCTAGGGGCAATAGCTGGGAAACGCCACAAACTACTAACGAACAACTCATCGTCAGTGTCGTCGATCTGCAATTTGCCAATTGATATTTGGTTAGGCCCGTATACCGCACGTTACGGAGACACATTGATGACGTCGCCGTTTGATTTGCGGTCAGATCTATGCAGCATTGGTCGGATGACGAGGTAACCGAGACTCCATCACTAGCACTTACGCCTATTCGTGAAACCTAATAACTTAACTGCCAAAGCCTCAGGCCTTAAGCAGTAATTGCGAACCGTCTGCGGGATTCTATTGAATAGGATGGCCTGAATGGGTTCATTCGACAAGTGCAGCATAGATTGCGATGCACTAGTGTGGAGAACCCTGTTATTAAGCCCGGTGGTATGGTAAGCATGTCAATATTGGTTAGTGCGTCTGTTGTTCTGATCAGCGGTGGCACCTTGAGCGTCATGACCTTCAGATTCTACAGTGCTTGTACGTATCTTGCTACAAGGCCAAAGTTCAACGTTCATTGGCAGTAGTGGTGATCGGCAGGCCGTTCCTTGATACCGAAAGATATCAATAGACACGAGGCTTTTTGAACGCAACCCCCGTACAGGTCTTGAGTGGGAGTGTCTTTGAATTGTGGTCAGTATTACTCTCTGAAGGCCGTAGCGAAAGATCACATACCGATATCACAATTAAGCCGCGAGCCGACGTAGATGTGATCTGAGAGATGATGTCAAGCACCGACAAACAGGAGGCCGTGTGGTTTGGGGCCGGGTTGGTGCAAGGTTCGTCCGAGCTTGGACCAGTTCATGGTGGTTTGTGCATCAAGCTCGATCCCTATTGAGGGAGCTTGCACCGAAGCTAACAGTGGAATGCAGTCAGTATCTCCACGGGCCAACACTCCATGACAGTAGCCAATAGCAGGAACCGCATTTGAGATGAATCCCCGATGCCGAAGAGTCATCCTGCTCGCATGTGATGACGTTTAATGACGCCTGCCATTGCCGAATTGTCCGGGTTATTGATATTGAGTTGTTCTGAAGTTGATGGGATAAGTTAAGTATACAAGATCAGTGCTAATTTTGAAAATATCTCATTTAGCACTAGCGTGTCAAACACGCCGCCTCGAGGACAACAAACAGGCTTACAAATACAGAGTGCCTTTTCTAACGTGGTCAGATCAGAATGAAAAACCATCGAGAACGTCTATTCAAAGACGTTCCGTGCCGTACCCCTTGCAAATCCGTACTCACGATCTAATACTTCTACTAGTGAAAGGAGTGGTAAAGCTAAAACAGCTTTATTAATACAACCAACCGTACGCGTCGTATTGCTCACCGTGGGATTTAATGCCCATCAAACTTGTCACCCCAATATTAAGCAGAAGCAAATACGTAGCTCATTATCAACTATCACCGGCCGGATGTTCCTCCGAGACGTCCGCGCACTTGTTCTACTGCGCGATACATGTCTGCTGCCGACGATTGTGGAAGACCAAAAAGCTGCAAGATCTGCGGAATGGCTTTGCGAGTAAGTAATAGCCGTTGGGAGGTCTTGTGTACATTAGATGCATCAGGCTGTGATGAAGAAGCTGTCGGATCATGAGACGGGTGGCCGTTATTCATGTTTGGAGTGTTTGCTGGCAATGAAGCCGCGGATCGGAGAGGGGGAGCCGTCGGCGAGCGCAAACTTTCAATGTTCGATAAGGATGGGACGTAAGAAGTGTAGAGTTGATCAAGTGCCGCGCTTGGCTCTGGCGTGATCAACCCTTGATCTAAAAGGGACGATAGGTATTGCGAAGTTCTATATGCTGTATAGGGTGGTCAGAGTTGTCCATAAGAGGAAACAAAAAGAAAGGTCATCCCGTCTCAAAAAAAGACTGCACTGACCTCTGTAATGTGACCAAGATCTCCATACACAGAAGAAGAATGGCAAGTTGGGTATGATGGCTATAACCACATATAAATCAAAAGAAGGTCGGAGGTGTGAGTAAATGTCGAAAACACGTTACTCAATAACGCGTCGCGACCGGAAGACTCACGGACAATCATGAAGGGGGCCGTAAGTGGTGCAATTGCCATCCACATCCAAAATCCTCTGCGATGCCGGGGCTCCCGACTGGTTAGAAGCGTGCGGAGGTGTACAATCGAGGGATGCGATACTTCATTCACACCCGTGGGTGGTAGCGAAGCGTAAATGGATGGTGGATAAATGAGGGGTATCTGTCAGGCAAGGTCAATACACGCTCGGATAAAGCGTCATTCATCTTACTCGCAAGGCCTCCGTCGGACGTTGCTTCTCCGAAAAGTTTACCTCATTTGCTTTTTGTGTTGCATCTGCATGAGTAATCGATGGCCCTAAAGAAGGGTCAACGCCTTTCAGGGCTAGCTCCTCGAAGTCTATGCGATCGATGATGCGTTCGCCAAACTCATAAGTTTGCAACTAGATAACCGAGACATTAAAAAAATGACGACCGGACGCAATATTTCAGGGAGAAAGACCTGCCTTCCAACTGCCTTCGGGTGCCTTTCCAAAACCAGCCCAAAGGTCGGCAGCTTTTATGGACGCCCATTTCACCGCTCGCTTTATACTAGACTGATCTTGGATTTTAGAACTGTTGCCTTGAGAGAGGTCAAAGTGGTAGAAAATAAGCATGCGGTTGGGGTTAAAAATTGCGTGTGGCTTCAGGCCATGATCAGGTGGAATATTTGGGCGAGAAAGAGGCAAAGCAATTATGCGCATTGTACGCATCGCTTTAGGAAGAGCAGACATGATCCTGAAAGCAAGAATACTCAGAAGTAGTAGTGAGGTCTGGGACAGCAGCAACTAGTACCTCCGAAGGTTGGTAGCCTGAGTGGACCACGTGACATGTGGCAGCAAGGACTGAACGCGACTTGCATCGTGACCAGCGCTGTCCACCATGAACTCTCCTGATCCAGATTCTCCGATCTCAACTGATTCATCCGATTCACCCCCACCTGATGACTTTCAGTTCGTAGCAAGTGGCCCGAGCGCCCGCGATCCTCATACATCGTTCCTCCATTCCGCTACGACTCAAATATTGGGAAACCTCTCGTCGGTGATGCCTAGCCCTGGATCTAAGCGCCGCCTCCCTGGTGGCTCTTCCTTCGATGGTCCTTCACGGAGAGATCCAAAGACGAGGAGACGAGAGGATGCAATGAGCATGGGGGGAAATTCCCGCAGAATGGCTGAAGGCCAAAATCAAAATGCAGGAGGAAGTAACATTGGAATAACTGCGAATAATGCCTGGGGAGCGAAGAGCGAGCACGGGAACAGACGTGATAAGGAAGATCTTGTTGATGTTTTAATGGCAGAACAACTTAGAAAAGGTCAGTCAACCATCATTGCACGTTTGCTGATATTCAATCTGACTATTGTCGTATACTGTTACTTATAGAATTCGGAGATCCGTTCTTGGAGACAGCCATTAAAAGCCTGAGCTGATTGATGCACTACACTATCCAAGTCGTTCTCCCTAGTTGGTGAGGGATAATTCTTGCCTGAAATTTCCACTGTTAACCTCTATCCATTATGTCAAATAGCCGTTCATAACGTTGTCATTCTCGTATTGGACCAACGGGAATGTCTTTCGAGCGCACGAAGTGACATCCCTGAGTTGTTCTCGTTCTTTGATAGCGCGGAACTTGTATGATTCTCTTCCATATCAGCCCGCGGTAACAAATGTAAGATTAACTCCCTATGTTGTAAATCTTCCGACCAGAGCAGATTGTATATCGAAATTGCAAGTTCGTAACATCGGACCGTTAATGCAATCTTGAGTATTCAAATTCATGTATGAAGAACCTCATTCCAATAGATCATCCGGTGCTCGTGCCGCCATACAATACGCATTGGTTAACAGTCCCTGAAGTGGGGCTAATACCGCCGGAATCTCTGGCTATACGCCGACGGGCAAACCAGCTCAATTTGCCCTCTTCGATCAATAGAAACAAGAAGTTCGCGTGTTTGTTAGTAAAAAAAACAAAAACAAATATATGTCCTTCGAAGCTTCGGGTTCGTAGGTTCTGCGAGTTCCATTAGAGTGCGGGGGGACTTCTTATCGCAGGAGTTTGTGCCAACGTTGCTTGCGAAGTAGATCATTGGATTCATCGGGCCCTGGGACCGTCTGTCGAGGCACACCCATCTTCCTTGGCTCGGAACTTTCACCCTCAGGCGTCAGCGTCAATGTATATACTAATTAGAGGTCCTGCTGGTTGACTGGCATGGTTCGGTTCTGACGTTAGTCATAGAAGAAGTGTCAATAACTCAATAAAAAACCGAATTGTTTTTAGAAAATGTAGACAGTAGGGTCCAAGTGCTAATTTAAGACCATAAGTTCGATGAGACTGCAAAATGTTTCCAGAGTGAAGCGGCCGGTTTACTTGACTCGTCCGCGGTATAAGCTGGGCTGGTTCGATACTAATGCATACATCACGGTCGTATGGCGTATATGGTCGCAGGTTGCGCAACTGAACGTTAACCTCCGCCACATATGTGATAGGGTTATGATAGCATAGATCTCACATCAGAGAACCTGTGAACAAATGAGAATGATATTTAAAGTAATATATTGTTAAGCATCGCAACAATCAGCGTAAATTTGCCAACCGCTTTCACATGGGAATGTTTGGCATTGTCGAGGAAAGACTAATTTGCAAGTACACGGGCCTGGTAGCCCTATTTGCCTCGAGGACTTTTTCACTGGCACGGGTCTAAGAGACAATATGCTCGCACAGGTTCATACATTGGAATATGAGCCTGGTTTGAGAAGGACAAGGAAGGAGGTTGCAGCGTGCAGAACTACGAGACACTCGGGCGATGCTCATCAGTGAAGAGAACGGTGTCATTTGGTCTTTGCACAATGTATTTTTTCTCGCTGCGGATGACTACCGAATGAGCGAGTAACTTGCTCTGGTAAAAAGTGTGAGTAACAGTAGACATTAATTCTCAACGAATAGTTTGTCTGTATTGACCGAATGTTCGACGAGTGTCGCGTTGAGTGGTATATTGCATAGAATAGCGACAATGTCCTGAGTTGTGTTCAAGTAGGTATCACTGCTCGATGGACGCCGAGTTGCAATGACATAGAAGGACCGGAGTCGCGCACGCAAAATGTTTGTTGGTAAACTGTTGCACAGAACCATGCATTATACGGAGCGCAAATACAGTTCCGAGGTATGTGAGAGTACACACGATTTCTCAATGCATAGATTTCCCAGTCTGACGCTGAAAAGCAATATTATTGTGCAATGGAAACTTACTGGAACACAATACTGGGAAAGCAACGTTCAAGGTGTTGGATTCTTGTCTGCTAGATATAGATGGGAATCCGTGCGAAAAAGCGTTACCTTTGCGGAGCAGCGGATGCTTGAGAGATAAATCAAACTTTTGTCCCGTTTGACTTCACGACATCTGTTTGGAATCTTCAATGTTCGTCACTAATTGGATAATTTTCAAAGTGTAATTGTGCCTCTATGACTCAGTACCTGGGCTCGCGCATCGATAACAGTGAGTCATGTTTCGCATCTGTACTTCCTTTATCTTTCAACAAGCATCTCATGTATTTCGTCCTGTACCAGATCCATTGCTTCACTTGCGACGGACGTTGTGCCTTCATGGCTCAGTACCTGGGCTCGCGCATCGACAACAGTGAGTCATGCTTCGCATCTGTACTTCCCTTATCTTTCAACGAGCATCTCATGTATTTCACCCCGTACCAGATCCATTGCTCACTTGCGACGGACGTTGTGCCTCTATGGCTCAGTACCTGGGCTCGCGCATCGACAACAGTGAGTCATGCTTCGCATCTGTACTTCCCTTATCTTTCAACGAGCATCTCATGTATTTCACCCCGTACCAGATCCATTGCTTCACTTGCGACGGACGTTGTGCCTCTATGGCTCAGTACCTGGGCTCGCGCATCGACAACAGTGAGTCATGCTTCGCATCTGTACTTCCCTTATCTTTCAACGAGCATCTCATGTATTTCGCCCCGTACCAGATCCATTGCTTCACTTGCAACATACGTTGTGCCTCTATGATTCAGTACCTGGGCTCGCAAGTCGACAACAGTGAGTCATGCTTCGCATCTATATTTCCCTTATCTTTCAACGAGCATTATGTCCTGCTGGAAATTTTCGAGCTTTAACAGTGCTATGGAGATCGGCGGAACCATTTTGCTCCATTGCCACTTGACTGTTCATTCGCAATTCTTACCATACATATACAAAATTATCGAAAAGGCCGTTGTAATAATTTAATCGTCCGCAGCATAAATAGAATTTATAAATTTGCTTTCATCGAGAGATCGCACATTCGCAATATAGAGAATCGTATTTGTCATTCATGATAACATTAGTGACAGGGGAATGATATAGGGCCGGGCTGAATGCGCCGAGTAACGTCATAGTAAGGAGAGGGCAAGAAGCAAGCAAAAATATAAAATAACTAGTCAGAGTCTAATTCGGCGTCCTCCATCTGCTGTCTCTGAGTAGCTAGCGTACTGACAGACATGTGGGATACAATGTCCGCCGTCAGGTCCTGCCGATGGTTTCGTCCAAAAACTTTTCTGCATAGGGAGTTACTAGCTATCAGGCCGAGTCGTTGACGTGGATGACTTACCGTGTCCACCACTCAAGAAGTTTGTTCACTCTGGCTCGCGCAGCTGGACTGGGGCATCCTCGAAGAAGTCCACTACATTGTTCCAGAAAATATGGTAATCGAAATCTCCATCTACTGTGCGCCAGGACGTGAGGTTCGAAAGTGCAAATCGAATCTATGGATTTCATTCAGCTTCACACTTAGTAGAGACATAGATGAATCTTACCTGGCAAGCTGCATATGCTATTGCGCGAGGAGTCACTTTCCTCATACCTATTATAGAGGCAACGCATGTCTTTACTTTAGCTTGATCGGATCGTTTCGGGCGCGCCAATTGTTCTCGATAATGTCGGCGCCATCACCTTCACCATCCACTTCATGAGCAGAGGAAGGAGAAGTAAAGATTGCCTTAACCCCTGCAATGTGATGAGCTATGTTTCAGTTAGAGAACCCATGTCACTCACCATAACTAACAGCTTCGACTTAAAAAGCCCGCGCTCCAGGTTCTTGGTGTCAGCTTCATAGTTCTCATACATAAATGACGGCCATGAATTCTCAGAAACGATGAATGCTGTCGTACGGTCACGAATGCCAGCCTTGACGCTGGATTCAAAATATTAACAACATGCAAGTGACAGCTCGGATCATGACATACACTGGGTCCTCCAGCGCCATTCCGCTGGGCAGAGGAGTTTACCACACGCATCGCTCACGAATCCTCGATGGTGCTTGTCATCGGTCCTGATGAGAGGAGTCGGACAACATTCGATGTTCACCCACGAAGCCACGAGTTCTTTCAGAGTCCCCATGTCGTCGCCCCGAGCCGAGTCCGCGCCTCGCTTAAGCTAGATTGAAATGACCGAATGAGTGAGATGTGTGACAATATTCTTTGAAAACCTTTTTCAGCATGTCGTCGGACTCTTCGTGATCGAGACCTGCCAGTTTATCGTGAAGCCACGACAGTGCCTTGGCGAGTTCGATGTAGCCACGTTGAAGTCGGTCTTGCCTGTTCACTTCGGTAAGCAAGTACATCAATCTGCATGAACATCGTTAGATGCTTACTCCGGAGTGGCATCCTTGTCACTTTCTTCACAACGCCGGTCATTTTCAGCAATAAGGTCCTCTATTGGAGCATAAAGGTCAACCATACGACGGATTGCCCGTCCCTGGGAAACATAGAAAGTCATCTTTCTATTAAGGAGGCATCGAATCTGCTTCAGTTACAAGCTAAGATTGAAAACACGCATACCTTTTCTTCGTCGCCTTGTCCTGCTTCAACACTTCTACCTCCTCCATGAGGGTGGCAATTTGTCGCTTCGCCCTAGCACTAGGAGAGGTCGGGACACGCATAGAGACATGCCGAGACTGGGGGCTGCCCAAGGCGTGCACAGATTCCGACATACCAGATAAGCCTTGGAGAAGAGCAAAGATTTTTGGAAGTTGGGAAGTGCAGAAAGGATATGAAAAAGTGAAGGAGGGTGAAGGCAAGAGCCTACGAGAACCTGAACGTCTTAAATGATGGCCTGCGTCATTGACTGATCCGAAAGCAGCCTAGCATCTACATCGATGACTCGTCTGAAAGTGGCCTAGCGTCTACATCGATTACTCGTCTGAAAGCGGCCTAGCTTCTAGATCAATGACTCGTCTGAAAGCGGCCTAGAAATAACCTTGGTGGCCAGCCATAAGCATGTTTCTTTTCTGGCAGTCCAGGAACCTGCCGTTTGAGATGCCTCTAACGAACGAGCTTCGGCAATGATCAATAATCGGGTGCGACTCAGAGGCTCAGTCACGCACAGACTCGGACACAGCGAAACAATAAGCTGGAGCGTTCCAAGTTAGATGATGCCCCAGGATACCAAGCAAAATTGACGACTGCTGAGGACTGCGAGGATGTACGCTCATGCTGAGTGGAGAACTGTGTGAGGGCTTCAGAACTTTGCTTGGGGCACGGTTGCTGCAGCAGGTTCGAGGACCTGAAAAACGGGGTGAGTTGTCATCACCCGGCGAGTGAACAATGGGGAGGACATGCCTCCCATAAGTCGTTGATGCCCATCACGACGAGCACGCTAGAAATGTAATTATAGATCAGTAAGGGCTGACGAGCACAGCTGCTAGATAGGTGGAGGCGATGGGGAGCCGAACGAGAACAGGGGACTCACTTACCTATAGCGAAATGCGTACATAAGCACCGGTGGCAGTACCAGCCAAGTCCTAGACGGTAAATCCGAGAACTGTCAATCTGCAGTATAGCAGCATGCAGCGCGGTTTTTTGGCGGGAGGAGAGGTCGGGGTACCACCCAAACCGAAGGTGGGTGCAAACGGAAGATTGACGGTCCTATTAATGTGCGAAATTCGCAGTCCCTCGGTTAGCGTGTCGGCATTTTCCCTTAGGCATGTTACATTGTGCTCACCCAGGCACCCCTCTGACCGGTCCAGCAGCTTTTGGAGCTAGCTCAAAACCGTCGATTTTCGCCGCCCACGGCGTCCGCTGATCCGTCCCGCACCTATTCCGTGCCAATTTCAAACTCTGATGGGCTGGACTTAGAACTTTAATCGGTGAACGTTGAACGCGTGAGCCAAATAGCTCAAACCTTTGTATTAACGCGTGACTCGGGTGAAGATGAGAGAACTAACATTGAAAGAGTCGATGCGTGATAGTAAGGCGAGAACAAGAGACTCGCGAATAAATATTAACAGTGAGAGAATTAATATTGAGGAGAAGGAAGAGTAGATGATAGCAAGACTACTAGTACAGGAGAGATGTGAAGGTTCTTGTAAAACGAATCAGACGAGACTCCGGCAACACTACAGCGCGAGGAGTCGCGGAATGCAAAGCAGGCTACATTAGACGAATTCTGCAATACCAAGTAAACAACAGCACAAAGTCAAATGGAAACGCGAGGCGAGGCGCACCGTTCGATCAAATGCTACTTTGACTACCATTAGAAACGGGAGTATTTTCTTCATTCTCATCGCCATCATGGGCTCGTGCTTTCTTCTTTCCTTTAGCCTTCCTTCTCTCCTTTGCAAGTTCGGCCTTCATGTGAAATTTGGAAACACAGCTCTGGAAGGTATATGCGGAGCCCTCCGACATCCCGACTTTATCTTCATAGAATCCAACACTGAAATGAGCCGCTGTAGGCAAATAAAATATGCCGTGATCCATCAGTTTCTCGACATATTGGGGAAAATTCATGGCAGGATAATGAGAATGGACGGTCCCAAGGACGTCCTCAATATGTTGTGGCGGTTCGTCGTCGTCGGACTCCTCATCGCTCTCCATATAGAGCGCAAAAGTCCTCTTGAGCGGTTGGAGAGCCATACGAGCTTCTCCTCGTTCTCTCGCAAGCATTCCTGAGTTACCAGAGGTCATCTCATCGGTGGTGGGTGAAAGGTGAATATGATTATGTATGACGGGTGATATGATTTCGGTGGACACCCTCTGGAGCGACAACGGAGTTCGCTCCTTACGTGTCTTTCGAACTTCATTAAAATGGGGTGTCCTGGGTAGAGTGACGAAGTCTGGAACTCCAGTTTCATACTAAAATCCACAAGAACATAAATTATGCCGTATCCTCGCAGGCAAATAAACGTGCACGCACCAAATATTTAGCCCACTCCTGCAGGTCCCGTGTGCACAACGGATAGTGTGGAGTGTCGGGATGAGATGCATCGACCCAGCAGAATGTGTCCTCTCCAAGCTGATGGTCGGAGCAGCGTAACTTACTTGTGACTGTTGCCAACTCTTTTTTGTACTCGCCCGCAGGAGATGTACCTGCCTGCTGTCGTATTTGCTTCTCTTTTCGAGCCTGCAAGTTAATGTCACGTTGTGCCGCAGACTGCTTGAAACCATCCAAACACGTACAGTATTGAGAATTTCGATAAAAACTTGCTTTGTTTTCCTGCCAGATCCCTGTTCCGTCCTCGCAGCCTTGAAAGCGCTATCAAGATCATGCGATGTTAAAAGTCGATGAGGTGGGTCTAAGCGGCGGGCGGTAGACAAACGCCACCCCAAGTGTTGATATGTCTTTGAGACATCCATCGTGGCCTTAATTGAGTCGAGTATGTCTATGCGGCAATCTGATTCGGAGTGAGAGCGGTCCACATAAGTAGTTGATTGGTTTCTATCCAGAGTGTGTAAAGGAATTCTAAACTCGACTAATGCAACACGACATGATCAGCATCTCATCAGACCTGAAATACACACGCTTAACGTACTTTTGTCGAGTTGAACCTGGCAAGGCTGTTGTACGGTGAGTTCTTCTAATGATGGGGTTTGAGTCATCCGCTCATAAAAGTGCCGGACCGCGCGCATGCGAGTGATCTCACTGGCCCCGACACTGGGCAGGTCCGGACAAGTTCCAAGGAGGAAAGCTGCGGTTTGTGCACGAGTACGCTGACGAGCGGAAGTAATTGATTTGACCATAGAGTTAATAGAAGACTGCAACCTGAGAGCGTCACTGGATATAGCGAGAAAACAAAATATTTGAACTCACCGCAGCTTTATAAACGCGACGAAGGATGTCATCATACATTCAAATCATCTTGACTAGTATGCCGTCAATCTCAGAGAGAAAGGCTGGGCAAATAATGATCGTAAGCATCTTTCCCGGGGCTAACTACTTACGACTCGATACAGAACTGATCTGAGCCATCGACCGTGGCCTAAAATGGATCCTGCCAGGTTTAGCTTCGGGACCGATGAATTTGAAGTCGGAAGTTTAAAATGATGAAACTCACACTACAATTTAACCATAAGTAGTGCCTCCGAGTTACGCTGAAAACGTCATGGAATGTTTGCTATAACAGCGGATTGCAGCAGATAAGTGGTGAAGTCCTGCGGCGGATGCTGGGAAGGCGAACGTAGGGTGCTTGTACCCTCCCGTGGATGCGGAGGCTTATGTGGAATGTTGGTGCTGTGGGTAGGCTTGTTCCTTGAAAAAGCGGCTGAGATACGACTTGTTAAAAAAGTCAGGCTGTAATATCGACTATAATAGATCGTCCTCTGATCGGATACATTGCTGTATCTTCTACTCCGATCAAAGACCGTGAACCTTCGGATCCGGACCGTCAATAACCATCGGTAGCTGGCATAGCTATCATGTGCTCACCGAGAGACGTGGCGTTGACCAACAACCCGGTTTTCCCCACAAGAGGCTGGACTTCGTCCAAGCTCCTTATGTATTGCCGATGGAACACGACGCCACGAGACTCGAGCTCCGATCGAAGCCATAATAAATATTCAAAAGGGTTGACACAGACCGTGGTGAAAGCAGCGCCCACTTTGCACGGTGCACGGATTTCGGACTCTGAGAGTAATTTGAACTATCACTCTTGTACTTAGAATCTGAGGACAACAGGATACCGGAATCGAGCTTACTACATCACGCACGAGGTCTTGCCACCAGATAGTAGAAAGAAGGCCATCCGTCTCCCCGAGGACCTTGGCGGGTGCTCTCTGGAATGTTTATCAGTCATGCCCATTGACGAGCGTTCGAAAAAACGCTGGTTAATTCTCTTTACTGCAGAGAGTTTTCAACTGATGCAACATACAAGAGACAAGCAAACTTACATCTCCTCGTTGGTGCGCTTATCAACAGCAGTCCGCTCGATCGTCGCGGAATCCATCAGACAATCTACGAGGATACTCCCAACGCGCACCCTAAGTACCTGCATCCACTCTGATGTCCACTCCTCGCTGTCCTCCATGTACTTTGCAGCCGTCATCCGGCGCGCATGCAAGTCCTTGTACCCGAGGCCCGTGAAATAACCAGTGAACTCGCCTGGGCGTGCATGGGAAGGGATGGCGATATGGTTGCGCTTGCACATCTCAGCTTTGTACTCATTCTCGACAGCGCGCCTGACGGTGAGGAGCACCCAGGCAGTTTTCATCCCATCTGAGACACCGCCGCTGCCTTGGAGGCGCATGATCTCAAGGATAGTGATAAGGGGAAGTTTCTCGGGCTTAACAAGGGAGAGGAAGGGGCCCATTCGTTGGACTTGATTGCTTGTAGCTAGCTGGCGGTTAATACAAATGTCTGACAAGCGCGTATATGCTTACATATTTTTGCCTCCGCAACGATGATCTCTTTCATTTCTGCCTCGAGACGCGTTTTGAGCTTTTGATGCCAGTCCCACATCCACTTTTGTAAATCTGCATGATGAAGTTCGCGGTTGCCTAAACCTAGCTCGTCAAAAAGTTTGGCTTCGTGACGGAGGCGCTCTACTGCAACGTCGTAAACTGATTCTTCTAGCAGTTTCTGTCGGGAAGCGAGGTCTTCTGGGAGGACGCGTCGTGCAAGGGTAACCTGAGCCAAGTGTTTGCGGAGGTTATCGAGGTTGAAGGGAACTTCTTCCTCAGACTGCGCAGGTATTACATTCCCGTTTTCATCCAAGGTTTCTTCGAAGGTGTCTAAGGAGATGTGAGCGAGATGAAAACGAAAGCACGCAATACATACAGCGAGTCGTAGGACAGGCTTGACCTCCGGGACGCCCTCCAATGGGTCTGGGACATGACTCCCAAGGAATTCTGCCTGACCAAGTTCAGCCAATATACGAGGATGATTGAGATCTACTGCAGAATTGGAGAGGAGTTTTATGATCTCTGAGGCTTCTTCTGACGATGCCAAAACGCGATCGGCGACGACAGCAGTGGGTGAAATGTCTCGCTCTATGAGGTTGCTAAGGAGGGTTGTCGGGTTGGGCAGGTCGGAGAGGTGGACGGGTGTGTCAGACTCGGGATTAAATCTAGAAAAAGTGGTTAGAGTAATAAGGCAAGGAGACTAATGAAGCGTACCGTCTCCATGCTAACAACATTATAGCATATGTAGACGCGGTCGGGTGGACTCTATCTGTACCCTTTTCCATGAGGTCGTAAAGGTGACACGCATCCTCGACCCACAAAGTTCTATCTTCGGGCTCCTTGACAAATGCCATGTGGATATAGGCCTCCAAGAAAGAATTGTATATGCGAGACTCGAGCAAGGGTTCGTGGGACTTGGTGGTTCTAAGCTGCTCAAAGATCTGCTTTGCACGGGGAACGTCATACAGGTTATGCAAACATGCATCCATGACAGCAAGCTGGTCCTGAGTTGGAAAATCAGTGAAGTAGAAGCTGTTCAAAGCTGAAGCACGGTCATCTGGAAGGGGGGTTGGCAGGATTGTGTACAGGGTCCTGCGCTTCAGAAAGCCGTTCATAGCTACAAGGTGGTTTGCTGGAATTTCCTTCTGAGCTAACAGGGAAGTATAATCTGGATGGGGGAGAGGGACTTGGGCGAATGCGGTAGCAGGCGCATTTGCTGTCTTTGTGGGAGTTGAATAAAGACGAGCAGGACAAGAAAGACGTTGCCTAGAATACGACAACTGACGAGCAAAAGATGACGAACAGATGGACTTGGATGACGACCGAATTGGTGAGTCCGAGTCTGAAGACGAATGTGATGAAATAGGGGAGGAGGAACTTGGAGATGACGAAGATCCTGACGGCTTTGAGTTTGACGGGGAAATTGAGGAAATGTTTGATGACCTCTCGTTTTGATATCCAAGTCATTTCACTATAGCTGCTAGGTATCCGGCGCTGGGACAACGATTGGCTGACGGACCAGACGTGTAGCCGCATCGGTGAATGCATGACTTTCTTCAGTATATCTTAGAATTCATCAATCGCGTTTGGTTTTCAAACGAGAGAATTACCTTGCGAAGCAAGGTCAGGTTCACATGGATCATTTTATGTGATTTCCAAATAATAGTAAATACAGTGACGCCATACAACGTGATACGATGATGCGAACTTATCACCTACCTCCGATTTCCCTTCCAATACTTGTCGTTTTCTGAATAACAAAGTAATAACTTAGACCGTGCAACTCCCTCGCGCCCAGAGCTCCGCCCACAGGGCGAAGCTAGCGCGCTTCCCTTCCAATATTCGTCGTTTTCGGACAACTCCCTTTTTTGTTAATATGTTGGTAATAATGTGATGAATAAATAAAAATTAATCCTATAATTTTACGCCACGCCCCTAAACATCGTATTTACTATCTATCCATCGAAACACCATGCAACCTAGCGTATTTGAACTGCTAAGTACCTCAGACAATCAATGTGCTTTCATTTTCAGTGAGTATAGACTGAGAATTACTGATATCGTTCTGGATCCCAGAGAGCCAAAGATTGGGAGCAACACTGTGGAAGCAAAGAGAGCATTCTTGCGTTATCCCCCTGCATTTGTTATCATTCACCTCGACTTCTGCGATTTACCGCCATTGCACGGACTTCTGCCTCAGCACATACCAGTGTTACCTTGCGAAATTAAATTTTCCATGGGCACAGGTCCTTCTACAAGAATCACGCGGCGTCAACTCCCTGTAACACCAGCTTACGCATTTACCGACTTTAAAGCACAAGGACAGACGATTGATCACGTTTTAGTGGACATTGGAAGAACGACATGTTTTCGCCTATCTCCCTTCAATGCATACGTCGCACTATCCAGAAGTCACGGCCGAGAATGCATACGTCTTCTCAGAGACTTCGACAATGATCTATTCCTTCAACATCCAAACGAAGACCTTCGGATAGAAGATAACAGGATTGAGCGACTCGCGGAGGAAACGAAAAAGGGTTTCTCGAGGACAGACAGTCTGACAGAAAACAAGGTACCATAGTGCAGTACACTGAAAGAAACAATGTAGTAGTAGCTATATAGTGATGTCAGAAGAAATCCTGGGACGAAGCCAGACTAAACGAGCACGATAGAGCTAGAAAAAGACGGAATGTGAGCAAGGTCCACGTCGGCAACGCCGACCCCTAGTGCTGTAAACGTCCAGGCACCTGTGTGCGTGAATTATTTACCTTTTTTGTCAAAGACCAGGCCTAGATTCAGCCCACAGCCCGGGCTCAGCGCTCAGGCTCGTTTCGTCCCACCTCACGTGTGTACTGTCATCTCTCTTTGTTCTTCTGCCGTCCTTGGTCGCTGTATTCAATTTCAGGTGCGATCTCGCATTAGAGATGTCACGGTAGACTCGAGCAGCAAGTCCTTAGTTTGCTGGAGAAGCACTATACGGTGAGATCACTATGCTTCTCCCCAGATGGCAAGAGACTCACAAGCGGGTCATTGGCTGGCAGTCTTCGGTGTTTTCAAGTCATGTCAACGGTTGTCTTCAGCCCAACTAACATTTGCAGAACGTGAGGCTTGGAGCCATATGGCTACGTCAAGGTGCGTTGTAACAAGTTCGTCGGAGCTTCTCGTGCTGAGGTGAAACATTAGGTTGGGATCGATCTTCCGACATCTTTCGTGTTGAGGTGAGCATATGAAGTACCACGTTTCCATACTTGTTTACACTATTCCTGCCTACATCAGCAAAACCGCCACCACCTGCCAAGAAGGCCGCTGTAGCGCCTACTACTTCCGCGTCAAAGCCAACAGCCATGAAGAAAGAGACGAAACCCGTTCTCGCCGTCAAAGATGTTCGTTCCGATTCCTCATTCTTTTCTGCGCCAAAACCGAAAGCCAAATTACCAAGCTTCAAGAAAGCCCTGGCGCCTGTCAAGAAGGAGCCTGATCTCAATGTTGCGCAACCGTCATCGATCGTTCCGTTCCAGGAGGCACTGAAGTCAATGGGTAAAGGGCGTAGGGACTCTCCAGTAACGGCCACACCGCCACCAGCTTCGATTACGCCGCCCCTGGTGACTTCTGGAAGAACAAAGAGAAAATCCGTGACTTAGGCTCCTGATGGTCAGCTAGAATTGATCCGGCTGATAGAACGAGCTGTGTACGTTGATGACCCTGTTGATGTCAGCATTCTACTCGTTTTTTATGTTGGTGTACAGTACTTATATTGATGTCACGAATACCTTTGTGTATTTTGTTCACATAGGGTGTCCATACTGCTCACAGTTTGCGCGATCTGGATCGGGGAGATGGTGCTGCTCTACATGCTCCCCTATTCGAAGAAGTTATCGATTGGACGGATCCAATAAGTGAGCAAATTATCATTGTTATCACGAGTCGCTACCAATTAATAAACACAATCTATAGATCTCGAATTCGATCTCGAAGCGTCCCAACGCGGACAGAATAATACAGAAAAGACGACTCAGGAGGAGCGTGAGCAAACAGCTTTGGGTGCACTATACATATCGTCAGCGCAGATACCTGACAGTCCTGGCGAGCCCACGACGATAATCAGTGATGACGAGATAGATGTGGACGTGAAGACCATGACGGTGGGGTCAGAGTGCGATAATTTCTTCTGGAGAGAAGCCAATCTACCTCAGCCCAACGCCGCATCTGTCGCCGATCTCGTAGGTCAATTATCGGGAGGTTTTGATTCGATGAGTGCGCCCAGTAGTGCGGGTATCCAATCATTTGGCTTTGATCCCGCAATGCTTTCAGGTCTATGTCAGACAGCATTGATACGCCCGGAATTCAAAAATCAAAAGAAGCCAAACACGCCGTTTTGTGATGTCGGATGCTTTTCCAATTCATGCTATTCTGGTACACGTGGGAGGTCAGGTTACATGGTATGTGGCGCACAAACGTTCCTCTGTTTCTAACCATCAAACGCGAACGGACAGGTCCGATTTTGGTACCTTTCTTTTGACGAGGCCACCCCGCGGAATTGGCAAGGTTTGGACAGGATGGATGCGGTAGTACGTCCCAATGTCCACTGCGTGGAGGACTTGAATGCATTCTCGGTGAATTATGGTGAACCGTCAAAACGCGCCATTAGGAATATACTTCACGTCGAATCGAACGACGGCCCAGTTCTTGACTCGGATGACGTTGAGGTCGAGTACCTTGTTGGACATACGCATCGCCACGAGGAGGGTATCCCTCTTCTCGTGGAGAAGTTCAACGGGCGCATCTACGCACATTTCAATGAGGCCAACCAACGAGCCCAAATGGAGTAGTAATATCAATGATATCCGTTTCACTCAAAGAATGAGGAAAATTGGAAGAAGCGCCCCTCGATTGATTCGTGCTTTGAAGTTGGTTTCACTGGACCTCTTAGTTTGATGAGGACATATATGGCCTCGATATTAGCACACATTGTCCGAAGAGCTGTCCAAAGACCATTTGAACAAGTTCGGCGAATTGATTCCAGTTGTTAACTTACTAATTCGGGTGTCTGCATAGCACAGGGTGCCCGCTGCGCCTCAAGACACCTACAGTTTGAGAAAGATTAACAATATTAATTAATGGTAGTGAGCTTTCATCCCTTACTGACTACAATGGCGGTTGTCGCAACTCTGCCATGAATCGCCAGGCTAAACTATATTTTTTGACTGGTGCTAAAGCCATTATCCCTCAGAAAGTCACGGATAACATTTAAATCGAGGTAATATTTGATGGGAACTGAGAACGACTAACAGCATCAACGCTAGTGAGCTTTCATCCCTCGGTGGCCGCACCGGTGGTATGTCGCAACTCTGCCATGAACCACCAGGCCAAACTATATTTGCTGTCAAAGGTTAAAGCCATTGTCCTGCGGAAAGTCTTGGATAACATTAGAATCAAGGTAATATTTGGTGGGAACTGAGAACGACTAACAGCATCAACGCTAGTGAGCTTTCATCCCTCGGTGGCCGCACCGGTGGTATGTCGCAACTCTGCCATGAACCACCAGGCCAAACTATATTTGCTGTCAAAGGTTAGAGCCATTGTCCTGCGGAAAGCCTTGGATAACATTAGAATCAAGGTAACATTTGATAGGAACTGAGAATGATCAACGTCACCAACGCTAGTGAGCTTCCGTCCGTTGCTGGCTGCGAAGGTAGCTTGTTATGATTTTGTTAAGGTCTCATCTAGCGAGTCTATGTCGGTGACCATCCATGGCTAAGTATGATCAAGTCAAATTTCTCGTGGTATACATAGTCATATTCGGTAGGAGCAGAATTACATCATCCTACAGCTGCGACGGCTACAATTTCAAGGACTCATGAATTCACTGATGGATGAATCAGCGGAGTCAGATCATGATAATATCATACTTACATCACAATAGTCTCGTTTGAGAGCGTAATATTCCAATTTCTGAATGACCGACCGTCTTCATTTGATACTGTTGTTCAAATAAAGGGCAGCGCATACCTTCCCATACGACAGGCGTCTTTCCCTGGGCAATCAGTGCACCATGAGTGATCTGTGTGAACGTGTCAAGAGCACCGTCAGCGTCATGCCAGTCTTCTTAAGCTGCTGCTGCGTGGGGTAGTCATCGGCGTAACAGTTCTTGTTAATTTCATCGCCGCCGGTGTTAAATCTCTGAAATAGTGTGAAGCGAGGGTCTTTGCGATGTTGGTGAGCAAGGAAGCAGTGAAGTTCGCGACCTCTGGAGTGCAAAACGGAGCTGTCCGGCAGGTGGTTCACCGGAAAAGAATACCCATAGACTAGCCTCAAAGCACGCAACATATTCGGGGTAAGCGGCTGCCATGATAGCGGAGTGGCCGGGTCTGGCCGGGTGGTTGGATTTCCTAGTTACATAATCAATTAAAAGAGGTTGTTTGGCAAGACCTTTAGAAACAAACAAACTTACAATTTTGATCAGACCGGGGTGCACTTGTCGCTGAGGGAGAAATGCATGCCTTGAGACACGACATACTCCCCCCTAGTGGTGTTGAGTTCGCAACGACACTCAAACTAACGCCCTCAACTATCACTGGATCTTCCAGCCAAGAAAAGCTACCTCGCGTTCTTACCAATGTTGTTGTTTCAAGATCCAACCTTTTGCGCATTTTCGAAGTGTGGGAGCAACCTCCGCAAATCTCAAATTACATTGAAAATGAGCGAGAGCGAAGGGCTCATGTGCGGAGAGGCACTGAGGCTGTGGAGGGCGAAGTGGAGATGGATGAGGGTGGAGAAGGGTGGGTTAATATGGGCTCTGTAAAGGTGAATACCTAGCCTGAATTTGGGGAGGGTAGCTTAGTTGCATCACAGGCTACTGCAAAGAAAGATCCTTCAATGGTGTCACGCTTTCACTTTGTGCGAGAACATACTCTGCATGGCACTGTCACTGGCATGGAGAGCGTGCGCATTATGTCAACTTATGACGACCAACTAGATCGTCTATTAGTGTCCTTCAAAGACGCCAAGGTATGATGGCATGTATTCTGCGTCTCATAGTGGTTCTTGATAGTAATCACAGATAGCTCTTCTTGAGTGGTCGGACGCTGCACACGATCTTGTCACCGTTTCAATACATACGTATGAGCGAGCGCCTCAGATGGTTGGTGTTTGTCTTCATCGCTGCGTGTATATGTGACCAGTTTTCAGGTTTCATTGCATAGTCCCCTTTTCAGAACAGAATTGCGTGCAGACCCCTTGTCCCGATGTGCAGCACTATCTCTTCCAAAGGACGCATTCGCTATTCTTCCGTTCTTTCAGACTCAAGCAGAACTCGATGTAATGGAACAGGAACAAAACCATACAAGGTGTGCATTCCTCTGAATTCCTCTGGCTCGATACAAATTCGAACAACCAACAGGGACGTACCATACTCTCCAAGTTTCGTACTAGACCTCGTCAACGATGTCGATGAGCGCATTCGAAACGTCATCGATTTTGTTTTCCTCCCTGGATACAACAATCCAACGGTCGCGGTACTTTGCCAATCTGAGCAGACGTGGGCTGGGTACGTGGCATGCTTTGCTTCATTTTCACACAATGACGCGTTCCATATAGTCGTCTCAAGGAGTACCGTGACACAGGCTCGCCTCTACATATTCACCTTGGATCTCATGAGTCGAAATTACCCCATTATCACGGCTGTCGACGGTCTCCCTTACGACAGCGTGTCTCTCCTCCCCTGCGCAACTTCACTTGGAGGTGTCATCGTCCTCACAAGTAATTCCATCATTTATGTCGATCAAGCAGCTCGCCGTGTGTCCCTTCCTGTTAATGGCTGGGCTACACGCGTCAGTGATATGCCAATGCCTCCAGCGGACAAAGACCTTGGCCTGTATCTCGAAGGTAGTCGGCTCGTGTTTGTCGATGAAAAGACTTTCTTTGTTATTCGAAAGGATGGCATGATACACCCCATCGAGATTATCCTTGACGGGAGGACTGTATCCAAACTAGTGCTATTACCCGTTATTGCTCAGACAACCATACCAGCTGTCACCAGACTACTAAATGATGACCTGCTTTTCGTAGGCAGCATGGTTGGACCGTCGGTATTGATGAAGACCGCTAGAGAAGAGGTACCTTTCGAGCTTCCTGCGCAGCAAACTGGCGTTGCCACCACTATGAATTTTTCTGATAGTATGGATTTAGACGATGACGATGGTTGGTTGCATTTCCACGTGGTTTCGAAACTCTACTGATGCGTCACAGATCTATATGGCGATTCACAGACAACCACCCAGATGGCAGTTGGAGCAGCATCCGGAGCCAGTGCTACAACAAAGACTCGTTCCATCATTCACCTTTCATTGTGCGACTCGTTACCTGCATATGGCCCAATCGCTGATATGACATTCTCTCTTGCTAAGAATGGAGTAAGTATATGACTTTTGATTGGTCAAACTCTGCTCAATCTTTTTCAAGGAACGTTTTGTTCCAGAACTTGTTGCTGCCACAGGAGCAGGTCATTTAGGTGGATTCACCCTTTTCCAGGCGAGTCGATATGATCTTACAGACTGCTACTTCAACTAACAATTAAGCACAGCGTGACCTTCCGACGCGCACTAAGCGGAAACTGCATGTACTTGGAGGGGCACGAGGAATCTGGTCTCTTCCCGTTCGCCAGTCCCAACGTGTCAATGGTCTCTCTTATGAGAAGTCTATGGGCCCATTTTCAGCTGAAATTGACACAATAATAATTAGCACAGACGCTAATCCTACACCAGGTGTTTCGCGGGTAGGTAATCTTTTTTGGTACGTTTTATTCGCTAAACCCTCGCAGATAGCAACCCGAACTGCAAAGACCGATGTCGCTATCCCCACTCGCATACCTGGGACAACCATAAGCGCAGCTCCATTCTTCCAGCGCACCACTATATTGCATGTCATGACGAATGCTATCCGTGTGCTGGAGCCCGGTACGATATTCCTACAAACTTTGTGCATTGATGACTAATGAGGTGGAATAAAGACGGTAATGAAAGACAAGTTATCAAAGATATGGAAGGTAGTTTGCCTCGGGCAAAAATTAAATCATGCAGTATTTGTGATCCCTTTGTACTTATCCTGCGAGAAGACGAGTCTATCGGTCTTTTTATTGGTGAAACGGAGCGAGGAAAGATTCGACGCAAAGATATGTCTCCAATGGGTGACAAGGTATTTCTGATTTCGCTTACCTTGTTTCACACTATTTACTGCTTCAATGTAGACATCTCGCTATATTGCAGGCTGTTTTTTCACGGATACCATCGGTCTCTTCGACATAGAGGCGAGCGAGACTACCCCTGCAGCAGCACACGCAGACAAGAATACGTCTACACTGCAGGCGGCTGTAACAGCTGGCAATAGAAGTCAGTGGCTGGTGCTCGTGCGACCACAAGGCGTCATGGAGGTCAGCCTCACATTGACCTTCCGGGATGAAGCTAGCTAATATCGAGTTCTATAGATCTGGTCACTACCGAAGTTGACTCTTGTATTCTCGACCACTGCTATCTCTACGTTAGAGAATATTTTTGTGGATTCTTGCTCTCCTGCTGCATTGTCTTTGCCACAAGACCCCCCCAGAAAGCCTCAGGATCTTGACATCGATCAAATTCTCGTTGCACCATTAGGCGAAACGTCTTTGGTTCCTCATCTGTTTGTAAGTAATCAACAGTCTTGTAGTTCATCTATTAAGATTTGCGACAGGCCTTCTCGCGTTCTGGAAATATGGCCATTTATGAAGCCTTGCCGGCGCCTGCTCCCACCGAAAAAAAAGCAGATTCTCCTTTACCTAACCCACGGACTGCATTTTTGAAGGTCAAGTTCCACAAAGTCGTGTCGAAAACCTTTGAGATACAGAGAGTTGAGGAAACGGAGAAAACGGTGCTTGCAGAGCATAAGAGAATCTCGCGGACATTTGTTCCATTTATGACTTCCCCAAACATGGAGTGTACCCTTGCCGGCGTTTTCTTCACAGGTGATAGGCCATGCTGGATCATAGCTACTGATAAGGGTGGATTAAGGGTGGTACCCTCGGGACATACTGTCGTTTACGCATTCACTGCGTGTTCTCTTTGGGAGTCCAAGGGAGATTTCCTCCTGTATTCCGACGAGGTGTGTGTGCCGTACGCTGAAAAGTCAAGACACTCACTCGTTCATGGATTTAGGGTCCAACTCTCCTTGAATGGGCTCCAGAAGTTCAACTTGACAGTTGTCTACCGTACCGCAGCATTCCTCGGTCTCGCACATACTCTAACGTTATATTCGAACATTCGGCTTCATTGATAGTGGCCGCTTCCTCATTACAAGCTCGATTTGCTTCCTATGACGAAGACGGTAACATTATTTGGGAGCCTGATGGTTTGTGTCCCGGTCTCATGTCCGAGGTATCTTTATCTGACAATCGTTCAGGGAATGGTGTTTCCTTCCCTCATGCCGACTGCTCGACGCTCGAGCTGATTTCGCCGGAACATTGGGTTACAATGGATGGGTGCGTTTGCTCTTGATCCCAACCGGCAGCGGCATTGATGTATTTGCCAGTTACGAATTTGCATCCAATGAATTTGTCAACGCCCTGACTTGTGTCTCTCTTGAAACAACAAGCACGGAAAGTGGAAGCAAGAATTTCATTGCTGTGGGAACGACGATCAACCGAGGAGAAGATTTGGCTGTAAAGGGAGCGGTATGTTTTCATCCATCATGCTCTTCGGCCAATTTATTTATGAAACCAGACATATATTTTCGAGGTTGTTGAAGTCGTTTCCGATCCTAATTGGACACCAAAAAGATGGTACAAACTGAAGCTGCGAGTGAGAGACGACGCAAAAGGCCCCGTAACAGCTGTGTGCGGCATAAATGGTTATCTTGTGTCATCTATGGGCCAGAAGGTAAACAGACTGCTTTGTATGCAATGTTGCGTTGATAATCCCTGCAGATTTTTGTTCGCGCTCTTGATCTGGATGAACGCTTAGTCGGCGTTGCCTTCCTAGATGTTGGCGTCTACGTTACATCACTCCGCTCAATGAAGAATCTTCTCTTGATCGGAGATGCCGTGAAGAGCGTCTGGCTGGTGGCTTTCCAAGTGCGACGTTTGCGTCTATTCTGTGTTTCTCTTCTGAACAAGCGTTTCGTAGGAGGATCCGTATAAACTCGTCACGCTCGCAAAGGACGTGCGAAAGAGACATGCCACAGCTGTGGACTTCTTCTTTGCCGGGGGAGAATTGGCCATCGCTAGCGAAGACGAAGAGGGGGTGCTAAGGCTATTTGCATATGACCCTTCCGGTGAGTTACCTTGGTCATAGCACGATGAAACTGTGATCTGAGAATTTTGGTTTTTGATTGAAAGATCTCGAGTCTAGAGGAGGTCAGCATTTATTGTGCCACACAGAGTTCCACGGTCATAAAGAGTGCCGCTCGACCATCATGATTGCTCGGCGCACGAAAGACGAACAACTCATTCCCCAAGCAAAACTGGTGTCTGGTGAGGCTCGTATTCTATCTGCATCGATGATGTATCTTATTTGATCGGCAGGATTTACGGACGGATCCCTATCAACCCTCACACCCGTAGATGAAGCTGTTTTCAAACGACTACAACTTTTGCAAGGGCAGTTGACACGAAATGTGCAGCACACTGCTGGATTGAATCCGAAAGCCCATCGGTGAGTGTTTCTGTGCTTGCACTGGGTTCTTCACTGATAACTCTATTAGAATTGTGCGAAATGACGCCGTGTCCAAGCCTTTGTCGAAAAATGTCCTGGACGGCCAACTCCTCAGCGAATTTCAAGTCTTGGGTATCAGTCGTCCAGAATGAAATCACGCGACAGATTGGCACAGAGAGAGCTCTTGTTTTGCATGACTGGTCTTCTCTCATTGTTCCATGGTAGTGAGAATTTCAATAGTCTGTTATTTTGACCTGCAATATATTTATGTGCAATGGCACTCCTCCCTTCGTCATGCTATCCTGAGCTCTCGCGCCAATATCTGAAGACCCTGTATCATAGTATTTGTCGAATATATATAGACCAACAGAGAAAGGTAGCTTACCAGGTGTTTACTGAAGAAACGCGCGGCTCCAAATGGACCCACAGCGAACCAAAGTCCCGGATGTCCAGATGGTCGGTATGCCTGATTGAGTTCTCCCTCCGAGTCAAGGCCCCACACCTCAGGCGGAAGAAGTTGATCGGTAATCTCCTTGCCAAGAAGAGCTCTTGCGGTCTTCATGATGGGTTCATTTCCTGTACTGCAACGTGCGTGAGAAAGACCGACGAGCAAACCCATCAGTCAGACCATACGCTAGAACGATGACATCTGCTGAAAGCTTAAAGCCATCTTTAAACGTGATCCCGTCTTTGTCGAAGTGACTAATGTCTTGGCCTTGCTTTACCTACACGGATATCGCGACCGTCAGCTGCAGCCCTCAGAAAATAGATACGAGTCATACCCTGACTCTGCCTTCGATGATTAGCTTACCACAGCCAATGTCAAGCACTGTGTATTAATTGCAATGTCGCTCGTCTCGGGAACCAATCTAAACGCACTGGTTCCTGATCCAAGGCGGCTATACAAGAATCCCTTCTATCCCAACTTCGCCACTACCGGGCGAAACTTCCCAAGTCAAGTTGAATCCAGCCTGGCGCAGACCGTCGTGGAGTTCTTGATCCAACATCTTCATGTGTCGGATCCCGTCTGATTTTGTCAGTTGCAGGAGGAAGGCTAGAGGCATTGAATTGCTGCGGAAATCCAGTTCCTCCATAGGGGTGCTATTGGGGTAAAGTGACCTGAAGCGAGTTTTCTCCATGGCGGCAGAGGATACGACGCATGTGGCGCTTCTTTGGACCAACGTTACCTTTTTCCTTCTTATGAAAATATGACTTCAGTGTATTTCAATCCGTAAACGTACCTCAGCGGCACCGTGTGCTACGAAATCTTGACATATATCCCCACTAGCATTGCCCTAACGGTCTCGTGAGTATGCGCCCAGTATAAAAGTGCACAGATATGACTTACCGCACCCACAACGATGACACGTTTGCCTCGGAACTGCTCCGCATCCTTATGGAAGTCAGAATGATACAAGGCTCCTTGGAATTCATCCATTCCACTCCAGGTAGGAATGTGAGGGCTGCCGCTTCCTGTGGCGAGGATCAGGTGCTTTGGATTGAGGATCACCTTCTGATCTCCATGTTGTACTTCTACAGTCCATCTTGCGGATAATGCCTCGTATATTGGAATTGAGATTATGGTACTGGAGAGCCAGACACACAATTCCTGATTAACAGCGTAAGACTCCAGGAAATCGGCCAATTTCCCCTTAGGAATGTACTTCGGGAAGTTTATCCTAACATCGTTCAGATATGCGATACCTTTGAACCGTAGGAAGCACATACGGATAGGGACTGTAAAGGACTGTATATTCATTAGCACCAAGCCTGTGAAAAGATAATAAAACGTACTGGAGCTTTGAGACGCGGGAGTATGCAACGTAAGATTTGGATACCTGTGTTTTGCATTATTTAATAACGCAGATATACTATCGTTTGTGCATACCGTTGCCTCCAGCAGTCTCCAACACGCGCATCTTTCTCGATTATAAGTGCGCGGATCCCCAACATACGTAGCCGCGCAGCACACATGAGGCCAGATTGTCCACCACCAACTTTTTATGACTCGTCAAGACACCACGATTCATAAAAGAAACGGCACACCGATTAAAACAGTGGGATCCGCCTCGATAGCACGCCATTTTGCATCGACATCCTCCTCCCAAGTTATTTCGCGATCCTCATATAAACCGTGTTGGTTTGGAGGAGACTCCTTGTGCCCGACGAGGTCCTGCATGTTTGTGAAAAGAGTTAAAGCCTTCCACTTCTTATCGGCATCTTGCACCAGACGGAAGAAACCTCGTCCGAGTGCAGCCGGATTCGTAATACTGAAGGTGAAAGCACCTTGCACTCCTTCGATGCCTTGTGAGCCCGGTAACTTGAACGGTGAAGGCAGCATTGATAGTGTGATCGTCTATCTTGAAGTCACGAAGACTAGAATACTCAAGTCGCGACTTTCCATCGACAACCTGCGAGAGAAATTCGCGTATTTTTTCTAGACCTGACAGTGTTCTGTGATTCCAAGAGAAACATAGAAGATCTGAGGGTACTTATAAGCTAGTGCGCCTCACTTGCTTGGACAAGCACTGACCTCTGAACCACCCGTCCGAGAGGAAATGGTTCACAAATGACACAGTGTCTGCAGTGGACGATGCAACCTCTAGGCTTTTGAGCCAATCGGTGGAAATTGAGTGAAGGTCCTCTGAAGCCATGTCCGTACACTGGTAGATAGTAGAGGGTAAGTATAGCCTACGCGGGTGTATAAACTTAGAATTCTGAACGAAGAAAATTCACCAGCTTACACCGCACGATACTACTGTAACGCCACGACATGGATACTCAATTGGCTATCAGTCATCTAGCCAATAGGGTACGTACCCACTTCACTTGGCAAGTGTTCCCACCAGCATCAATAATTTGGCTGGCCTGAACGGCATGACAGTGCCCAAATGGACAGTGCTAGGTAACTAGGATGCATTTAGCCCTTGGCTGATCTTGACGATGAAACTGGAGAGTATACAAAGTAACAAACCACCAGTGCTGGCAATCAAATTCGGAATCCAATCATGATAGTCGAAGTAAACAAGTGTTCAATTTTGAGGGAACGAGTTTCCTGACAATATGGTATGTACATAATGAAAGGAGACGATAGAATGGAAGGGGTTGAGTGTCGCAGAAGCGTACTACCAGTGAACACGGCAGCTTAGGTGCAAATTATATAATTTAAATGCAGGTAGGTCATTTCAATTTATTTTCACATGTTTGAGCGCTTATTTAGTCGCTGTCGCTTGGCATCCGCTCTGTTCGCTTATTTTGTGGGGAGTGAGTGGAAGTAATCCATCGACTGCCAGCATTTACTCTTCCGAAGCCACCCGATATCGGACGTATTGTTGACTTAAATACTGTCCATAGTCGTAGAGTTACACTAGTGTCGTTTGAACCCCCAGAATTCAGACTTTGATCCTGTCACTTTGTTTGAACGCACTCTTCTCTTTTGTGTGCCGTTGTCGTCGAGCCTAACACGCTAAACAGTCAACGTCACAGAGAGCTACCACTTGGATTTTTCCACGTTCAGTGTAACAGTCTTTCAAGTTACTACCTACGGAGGTTTCAATTTCACTTTTGGTGCTCTCTACCTGCCTCAAATCGGCCTCGTGTATGTTGTTATTGATGCATGTCCTCTCACATATTTTCCAGGGCTTCATACACCATTGACGGGGTTGTTGGGCAGGAGTTCTACAACGCCATCGGGATCTACCTCGCCATCTGGGACTTGATTACGTTCATCTTCTTGTGAGTCTGAGGAAGTATGCTTTGCAAACACATCCTTAATAATCTTACAGCCTTTGCGCACTTCGTACAATCGCCCCCATCGTTGTAACGCTCGGACTGATCTCATCCAGCATCACTATATCCTAAAGACTCTCTGTCGTGATACTTAGCGGTGCCCGCTACCGGTTTGTAAAGGTGAGCGGGGATAGCAACGCCTCATGAATCAGTTCGCTTGATAAGGGGCACAGCAGGATGACAGGGTAGATGCATGTTCGATTGATGCGAGGGCATGCTGATACAGATCTGAATAGTATATAGACGAGGAAAACCGCAACGGGAGCGACTCGTTCTCGTTACTGGGCACAGTCACCGTTCCCACATATGTGTTACCAGTGACCCAGTGAATGGCGCGGCACATCCATATAACCGATTTTCTCGCAGTAGGATAACATACTATGCAGTCAATCTTTCACTGCTTTCGCTGTTACTCCTATGTGCGCGGAGGCTGATGATGCACTTCGACGCAGATGTAGTCTTCCTGAATTTGATACACGACTCACCTGCACGACAGGACTGGTTTCTCTGCAGAGGTGAGTCATCTTTCTGCTTTCATATGAAGCAGCTCATATTGCATGCCTACCTAGATCCTTTCGAGTGTTCAAGTTGAAAGTTGGAGTAGGGAGCTGTACGGTATTATGCGTGACCTAGGTGTGTTTTATTAGGTCCATCATGCGCATACATACTTATATTTGATCTTTGAGTCCGTCTATATCACACCAACAGTGAGGCACGCTGTGCACGCCCCGTGATAGTATAATTATTGTGTCCTTGCACGTCTTATCTCAGTCCAACATTCCCTATATTTCACGAACATTTCATGCCAACTCCAATATGTAATATGCGAAGAGCTGCATGAAGTGGACATGTGATTTCCTTATGCGCATTGACCAATTCTGTAAATCACTAGTAATTCGTGCGTCGGTGTCAACTGCCATACTGCACCGATGTGAAAGCAAAAACACGACTCACGGTGCACGTAGAGAGTAACTGTATGCAGGTGAGTCATGTTATCAAGTCCAGGAGGATGCTGATACATACACATTGTTTGTAATAGCAGAGGTTGCTCTGGCATTCGGAGTCATGAATGCACGACAGGCGACATTGATCGGCGCTAGCCTCATCACCGGTAACGGGGATGGCAGAGGTTGATGATGCTAGAGCAGTAATGACGGCGAGGACGATTGCGGCAGAGGAGAAACGCATTGTTTGTGACTCGTGATATGGGATCAGGTAGTTCTGAAGGCGATTGTAGGAAGCCGGCTGGCTTTTATATTCTTCTTTGGAATCCCTGTTGCCTGAACGTGAACAATTTACAATGCCAGCATGTTGCCAGCACTTAAGCCCAGTGAAAGTCGGACATACGGTTTTCCACTGCCCGCAGCAACGTAGGTATACTGTGGCTGTGACACTTCTTATTGCGTAGATACACGTCGGTATCTGCGCTTTCCGTAGCTGCGAAAACGATGCGCATCAACGCTGGTGTATGCTTTTCAATGCATTGACTACTGGATAGAATTCCGTAGATTTGAATATAACTGTGTATCCCTTTGATATTTTGCTGGCTTCGACGCAAATATACGGAAATCGATGCATTGCAACATGACATACAATTCAAAACATGGGAATAAAATCTACCCGCGCTCATTCGCGCTAGCTCCTCCCTCTAGGCTCCAGGATTGTCCTACCCCGGTGCCCGGCTAATGAAACGTGCCGCTAGAGAACTTTGCAGGGACGTTGACCGTATTTGCGGACGACATGCGATCAGTAACCTAGATGGAATACACAAATGAGCATACATTAATAGAAATAGGATCAGTACTTACCAGATTCGAAGCTTCAATGTCATACTTAGTTCTGTAACAATAAGAATAGAGCACGATGAAATGAATGAAAATGATACCGCTTGACAGTCTGGTCCATGGAGCCGCATTTTCAGTCTTTAAGTCAGCTCGAGCTGGTTCGAGCCAGACTTCTCTCGAAAACAACACCGTCCGCTGGCGGGCGCGACGCTTCGGCGAACGCCGTTTGCTTGATGACGTGAGCGAGGAACGTCATCCGCTTCAGTCACACTTCTATGGTGGACGATAGGTTACCGGTTGGATTTGCCGATTTGCCGCAACTTATTTCGAAGTCCGATCACTGTTTGTTCTAGTCTTTTGAACTATTTGTTAGTACACCTCAAATATTGCGGTCACAGGAGGTCACAAGCGGTTGGGTACTTACAATAGACATAGTTTGACCGCTCCAGAACTTTAGTACCGACCGATCGACCCCAGCCTGACTCAGACGGACTTAGAGACGATGGAACGAAGCCATGGTTCAAATATGCAGCATCGGTAAGCCAGTTAGAACTTGAAGAGTGCAACTTGATATGCTTCTTCAAGAACAGTGCACCACTGCTTCGTTCGCGGTCTGCTGAGTCGGGCCTATGTATAAGCAGTTAGTATCCATTCAATAATACGAACTTTGTTCACATGGAACAAATTTCGGCAGAACCTGCGGGAGCGTATTCGATTAACAATGACCACTGAATCATAACCTGCCTGCAGGCATCGACAATTCTCTTCTTTGTAACGACAGAACCCTCGCTCGAATCACCGGCCTCTCGTCCTAACCCCTCACTCTTCGCTTCAAAGCTTCATCATTTGAACCTGCACTGACCCTGCCAGTGCAACGACAAAGTCAAGAAGTTAGCATCATTCTCGCCGATACTTACAGATCAATATCAATTAATCTTTAGTGAAGCTGGTATTGCAAGTCGTGTCACGTCCGCGGCAGGCACGACTGGCCAAAATGAATGAGGCAGTGGACACCAGGTCGCAGAATGAACCGGTTGTTCTTTCAAGACTAGCAGCACGCAAATAGATTGAGTGGAGAAATTTGTATTTCTGAATTGCAAAGAGTGGAGTGCTGCCAGAGACGGTTCAAGTGAGTGATTTATGCCAGAGAACTCACTATCATGAACTATGGCCCCAGTGATGGCAGGTTGTGATACAAGGGTCGTAATTGAACACATTTCTGCAGGTTCTACCGAAATTTCTGCCGTCTGACCTGAGCAATAACAATTCTGCCAGATTGATCAGAATCGTGCCCATAAGTGTATGCAGGATATGAAAGCTGGCCGTCGTCCTACAGTGTCCCCCATCCTCAGAGATACCATTCAAGATCCCCTCAGAAGATTCCATATCATCTCGCACAGAAAATGCGTTTCTCCTTCATCGCCATTGTTGCTGCTTTGACAGCATCTATGCATGTCAGTGCATAGTGTTTGAACACACCTTGCAAAACTACTGCGGATTGCTGCACAGGCACGGTTTGTGGACCTAGCGTGAGTATGAGCAGGTCGCTGTGCAACCAGGATCAACCGCATGACTCACCTGCGCGCCTTAGGATGGAGCTTGATTGTTAGTTAGGTTACAAAATTGAGCCGGCAGTACGAAGGGCACGTGCGGACAGAAGTCATGCTTCTACTTTCGCTTTGGTACCATGGTTGACAGTGCAATGCCTAGTAGTTCGCAGTCAATCAGTACAGTTGTTTTGGGACAAGTTTTTGTATTGTTCGAGCAATGTGGATGTTTGAACTTATCTGAAAAATGATCGATTGTGCCTAGTCTTACTCGTGGTTCACTGAGCTTCAAGTCGAGTTCGAGGGGCTGTCGAAGGTTCAACAGAGCTCCAGCTAAAGCCGTTTCTGACATTATGATTTGACCGGTCAACGATGTTAATTGGCCGACTACGCTACTATCCCTTCCATGGACCACTGCAATCGACATCCCCGTTGCAATGACAAAGGGAAACTAGGAGACGAGCAATTCATAGTCAGCCAACTAAAATGACAATACTATCCATGGGACCCACAAAATTATTAGCACATCTAAGCTTGATCTGGTTGGCCAGCACCAGTAAATGTCTCCCTGCCTTCACGCCACGCTTGAAACCCATCTGGAATCGATTGCATTTCCGGCGCATTCGTCGATAGGTATGTGGGGATGACCGATTGCTCCCAGGCTGTTCGCTTGAAGACTAAATAGTATTCGCGAAGCGAGAACGCTGTGCACAACAATCTGGGATCTAAAATGTCGAGGGCCAATCCACAAACGCGGCGTTGGTCAATCAGCATAAACGGGAACAACAAATATTGGAATGAATTGGAGCGCTAGTACTAGTCAGTGTCTTCGTTCTTCCCCAAGGCAGCGGAACATGGACATACCTGAACCCACAAGCTCCAGCCTAGTGAAAACACTCCAATTCAGGAATACAATAACGAGAATGGCAGCTGTCCAGCCCTTTGTTTGTGTCCAAAGCAAGAGACTCAGTAGTCTCAGTGGTCTCCATGATGCCATCTGACAACGAAGGCTAGGGTCCGTAAACGACGACACTGGTACTGAAGACTGAACCAAATGGAGGTGCGCGCCCGCGGCTGTTTTCGTCGATTGGAGACTGCATTGCATCATTTGCATGTTGGTTAAAATAAATGTACATATACATAGATACGCGTTCTCTAATCAAATTTCTGGGTACACAGAACAAACATCGCGGATCGGACTTCGAAATTTATCACGGCAAATCGGCAAATCGAACCGTAACCTATCGTCCACCATACACTTCGACCGTGCTTTCCTTATTTAGGCCCCCGGAACCGTTCGACACAGAGTACTGACCCTTTCCCTGGCTCTAGATCGCAGCAAACCCACCCAGCACCACCCCCGACTCGCAAGGAGGTTTCTCCGTGGGTGGTGCCATTGCCCTGGCATTGTTCGTCGTCTCCCTTGGTCTCTTCGTCACCTATCATTGGTGGTGTTGTCTCATGAGCAACGCGTTCTGCGCGCCACTATCTCAAAAGACGGGCCTGTAGACTCACCAGCAATCCCTGTCATACAGCCCTTTCATTCAACTATTTTTGTGGGCTTCGCTCGAATGCATAGTCAAGATGTGCTGTAGCAATCGAACGCTGACCATGTCTTCCCCGACCAGTGAGCAAGAGTCGATTGAGTACAAGGTGTGCCTGGCGGACGACGTCTCCCGTCGGAATGTGGGATTTAAAGAGCAAAGACACAGCCTTGGAGATGTCTCCGTCGGTGATCTATTCACCCAATAACACATGGGCGGTCCGATAATTACCCCGTCTGGTCTGCTGCTGCTAAAAGCCTATAAGAGCTTCTAGAAGCAATATACATATATATCGATAGGAGACACAGCATAATTGACGGCGATTTACTAATTCCCCATGGTCATAAGGTCGATTGTACAATGATATAAAATTTTGCTAACCCACCGCTCAAATCATGGCTCCTGCAGTTGACGGTCACTTTGCTATCATCGCCGGCATTTCTCTTTCCTTTGTCGCCGTCAAGGTACTGAGGCGATTCATCACGAAGCGACAGAATAGTCCTTCTCTTCCTCCTGGCCCGGTGCCGCTCCCACTGTTGGGGAACGTCTTATCTGTTGACGCTCGGGAGCCTTGGCTGACTTATACCGAATGGGGTGCTGCGTATGGTACGTGAACAAATAGTATAGGGTATATGCACTACAAACCATTATATCAGGGGACTTGGTCTTCGTGCAAATGATAGACGAGGAAATGGTCGTGGTCAATTCTCAGCACACTGCAGAAGCCTTACTGGACAAGCGTTCTCGGATTTACTCTGATAGGCCTTACCTAGCCACACTCGAGCCGTGCGTTCTTCCAGTATTCTTCTATTCAACCAGTCTGAGGCTCTTGCAGGTATGGCTTGTCAATTAACTTTGGATTCATGGGTTACGGTGATGAATGGCGTCTCTGCCGACGACTCTTCCACCAGACTTTCCGTTCCGAGTCTGCAGTGAAATTCCTCCCAATGCAGATCAGGCGTGCTCACGAGATGGTCAACAACCTAGTCAATGACCCTCAACATTATCATGACCACTTCGCAACGTCAGCAAATTATCTTTATAGATTGAACAGTTATTTACCTGTTTACAGATTCTCGTTATCTGTTTACAGATTCTCGTTATCTGTTGTGATGTCAACTGTATATGGCTACGATGCCAGTGCTCGTGATGATCCTCTTGTGCAGAATGTGGTAAAGGCACTGATCCCGGGCCTGGCCGTATTGACCCCAGAAAGAGCATTGATGCTTAAGACCTTCCCTTTCTGTGAGAACTCAACTCTCCTAGCCGAGAGAACGTTAACATGACATGCACTTTTGTGGAATGTAGTGCTAAAGTTACCTGACTGGTGTTGGGGATCATCGATCAAGCGTACTGCTCAATCTTCGACCGAGCGCATCAATAAAATGGCCAACGCACCATTTCGATATGTGCAACAGCACATGGTAGGTATTTATTTTTCTCTTGATCCAGACATTGGTCCGACCCTTGCTAAGGCAGACAGTTCGATCCTCGTTCGATCTTCGATGGTTGCAGAAAATTTGCGACGGATGGAAACGCAAGAGGAGGTATCCAATCCTGCATTCGAGAGTGCCTTAAAGAAAGCAGCTACTACTGCTACTATGGGTAAGTGAGCTTTTTTATAAGCAACGTTGTGCTCTCGACATAAACCAATATCACCCAGGTTCATATGAGACGGTAGGTGGGTAATCCCATCATGTTATCCGCTCCTTATCCTCGTTACAGACTTCGGCAGTCTTGATGGTCTTTTTTTTGGCCATGGTATTGTATCCAGACGTTCAGAAACGCGCACAAGCGGAAATCGACTCGGTGATTGGAAGAGAACGGCTGCCAACGTTCGAGGACAGAGCGTCACTACCCTACATTGATGCACTTGTGCGAGAGACTTTCCGATGGGAGCCCATTGGACCCCTTGGTATTCTCCCCTGCCAAGTGATCTGGCCTGTACTGAAGATAATCTCATAGGCATACCACATGCCACCTCGAGTGATGACATATACGATGGCTATTTCATTCCAAAAGGTCCGCTGTTGTTGTCCCATCAACACAATGATTATTTATAATACCGTACACCAGGCACAATCATCACGTACAACATATGGTCCGATATGTTCCTCTCAGCTTTTGTAACACTGACTTGATTTTAGGGGCATTACGCGGGATGAAAAGCGGTACCCCAACGCATCTCGCTTTATACCAGAGAGGTTTATCGACGTTGATGGCGCGTTAACAGGTGATGACCCCACACAATACTCCTTCGGCTTTGGCCGGCGTATGTGTCCAGGTTCGTTAAGTTACTTTAATTCTATAAAAAAATCGTTGACAAGACTTTAATCAGGGCGGTATACCGCTGATGCCTCTGTGTGGTCTGCCATTGTGACTATGTTGGCCACATTGGATATTTCTTCTGCCAAAGATGACCAGGGCAAAGTGATCAGCTTTACTCCTACGTTCACCACGGGAGTGGTTCGGTACTTGACTCCCTCGTGTCGTTCTATTCTCTTGTCACTAACAGCTTCGTTACTTCAGCCGTCCTGCGATCTTCCCTTGCAGTATCTCAGCACGGTCTCGCATCCATTCAGACCTTGTGAACTGTTGGCGAACTGCCGAGTTTTGACATCAACGTCGCACTTCAAATTTGCGCGCTAAGAAGACCGAACGAGTGTACAGTTTTAGGGAGTCCTTACGAGGCAATATATCGAGATTGATACAATGCAAAATTCCAGAGATACTGTTCATATCGAAATGTTGTCAATGTATGAAATGAAAATGTCCCGTGCTTCGCAGCTACACTATATCCAGCATCCGGACATTCACCATGTCATCAACAAAGGTCATGTCCCTCACTTGTGCGATGATGTGGTTATCCAAAACAATTCTCTTATACTCCGAACCGTACTGTTGCGCTAGTAAGAGTGCACTAAAAAAGACGAGCAAGGCGAACGAGCAACCTTGACCCTCTGGTAACCAGCTCATCATCTCCGGGCTCAACAGACCAATCATCCACGCTCTGCAACTCGTCTGTAAAGTCCTCGAATGAATGAGCAGGAATGTCTGCAGAGTACGCCTTGCAGGCGAGAACTGATGACAAGGTTGTATTCTGTTGTGACCAGCAGGTCTTGTAGCCTGTCTGCCTTGACTTCATATGTGAAATATGTGTCCCTGTCTCTACCAGGCCTCCGCTTGACTTCTGTGAGAGGAAACACAATGCAAGGCAATTGCAGTCTGGCGTTTGCGAAACGAGGTGGGCCGAGGTTCTCAAGAGTGGTATATGGTTTCGAAGCCACGATATTGTTTCACAGCGTGGAGAATGAATTCTGCGTTTCATCTTCGGATAGAGATGGCAACATGCATGGCAGAGCCTTGTATGAGGAAATGTTGGCTGGGAGGCAACTGTTGAAGTCAGATGATTGTCCCACCCGATCAAGGGCCGTGATGTCGCCCGAACGGGCTATGATCTCCTGTTAAGAGACGTCCTAGCGCCTTCTGTCTTCCTTCTCCGTAGATTATAGGAATGTGGATGCCGAATATCCCAAACAGAGAATACGCGACGTCTTCATCACGCGCAGTGACACGCGTTGATGCCCATTGAAGTTTCTCTTCGGCATCTCTCATCCCCGGGCGGAAGGCGAGGAGCGCCCGCGCATTTAAGCCAGTTGAATGCTCCAACTCCTGTATGATACTGACAGGCTCCTTGTGGTTGCGTGATCGGTCGTCGAGATATAGGGTCCAATCAGCTTGGTAGAAAATAATGACTTTCGGGGCCAGGAGTTCTGGAATACTCCATGCTCGCGTGTTCCAAGCACTGTTTGCAAGCGCGCCCGACTTTGATGAAGAAGGAACATCCGATAGGTAGACAATGATGAGTGCTGAGCGGTGATACCAGATGAACATGGAGTGGTGTGAAACATCGAACTCAACAACGTCGGGACGGTCGATGCAGCATGTATCGCTCCACGCCCAATGATGCCCCGCATCGCGAGCAGCTTTGCAGAATTTCTGTAACTTCACTACGGTTCCAGCCGGGTCCAAATCGTACATAGCCTTGTGCTGAATGTCATACAGCGTTGGCTCCTAGGTTCCCACCTGTGTGATAACATGACCCCCGAAGTATTGCGCGACCGCTTCTTTGATGGGCTGCGTTTGGTGGGGCACATGTATCACTGATGAATGTAAAAGCTCTTTATACTCTTTAATCTCCGTAAATGCGTTGATCTGCGCATATCGATTGCACAAACATCCAGTAGAGGTGTTGATTAGACAAAGTGGAGCGTTCTCCAGTCGGGCGTAAATGGCTAGTCGAATAGCATCTTCTACTTCAGATTGACTGACGTATTGGGGGTGTAGCTCTGCAAAAATGTGAGTGATTTTCAAGTCAGGCACACTGATGTCACGAAGCGTACGCGACAAGGCGTTGACAGGATTATCATCAATGCCATGACTGGTAGATACACCGACACTACCATGTGGGGAAGGAGAACCTTAAAAGTTGTGTAAGTCGCTGATCACAAATGGGGTCATGGAAGTGCAACCCACGCGTGGCTGTGCACTTCGACGCAGATGTAGTCTTCCTGAATTTGATACACGACTCACCTGCACGACAGGACTGGTTTCTCTGCAGAATGAGTCATCTTTCTGCTTTCATATTGGAAGATACGGTTTGAAGCAGGTCATATTGCATGCCTACCTGGATCCTTTCGAGTGTTCAAGTTGTTGAAAGGTTGAAAGTTGGAGTAGGGAGCTGTACGGTATTATGCGTGACCTAGGTGTGTTTTATTAGGTCCATCATGCGCACACATACTTTTATTTGATCTTTGAGTCTGTCTATATCACACCAACAGTGAGGTGCGCTGTGCACGCCCCCTGATAGTATAATTATTGTGTCCTTGCACGTCTTATCTCAGTCCAACATTCCCTATATTTCACGAACATTTCATGCCAACTCCGATATGCGAAGAGCTGCATGAAGTGGACATGTGATTTCCTTATGCGCATTGACCAATTCTGTAAATCACTAGTAATTCGTGCGTCGGTGTCAACTGCCATACTGCACCGATGTGAAAGCAAAAACACGACTCACGGTGCAAATAAAGAGCAACTGTATGCAGGTGAGTCATGTTATCAAGTCCAGGAAGATGCTGATACATACGCATTGTTTGCTGTAGCAGAGGTTGCTCTGGCATTGTGAGTCATGAATGCACCACGGGCGACATTTATCGGCGCTAGCCTCATCACCGGTAACGGGGATGGCAGAGGTTGATGATACTAGAGCAGTAATGACGGCGAGGACGATTGCGGCAGAGGAGAAACGCATTGTTTGTGACTCGTGATATGGGATCAGGTAGTTCTGAAGGCGATTGTAGGAAGCCGGCTGGCTTTTATATTCTTCTTTGGAGTCCCTGTTGCCTGTTCGTGCGTGCGCTCGAACAATCTACAATGCCAGCATGTTGCCAGCACTTAAGCCCAATGAAAGTCGGACATACGGTTTTCCACTGCCCGCAGCAACGCAGATATACTGTGACACTTCTTATTGCGTAGATACACGTCGGTATCTGCGCTTTCCGTAGCTGCGAAAACGATGCGCATCAACGCTGGTGTATGCTTTTCAATGCATTGACTACTGGATAGAATTCCGTAGATTTGAATATACTGTGTATCCCTTTGATATTTTGCTGGCTTCGACGCAAATATACGGAAATCGATGCATTGCAACATGACATACAATACAAAACATGGGAATAGAATCTACCCGCGCTCATTCGCGCGAGCTCCTCCCTCTAGGCTCTAGGATTGTCCGACCCCGGTGCCCGGCTAATGAAACGTGCCGCTAGAGAACTTTGCAGGGACTTTGACCGTATTTGCGGACGACATGCGGTCAGTAACCTAGATGGAATACACAAATGAGCATACATTAATAGGAATAGGATCAGTACTTACCAGATTCGAAGCTTCAATGTCATAGTTCTGTAACAATAAGAATAGAGCACGATGAAATGAATGAAAATGATACCGCTTGACAGCATTCGTTGGTGCCCGAACCATAATGAGCAGAAGTCCTCATGATGTCACAAAGCTCGAAGCAACATCCAAAACCTAGGCTGACAACAGATCAGTGAATCAGAGTAGCAGTACTGAAAACAAATGTACTGGTGTGGCACGAGACATGTCAGGTACTAGAAGATTGAGTTGAATGACTCGGAGTGGTTATATGCGCCCTGTTTCGAACATTTTCATCTAGTATTGACACGACCAAGGCAAAAAAACTCACATCATTTGAGTCGTCGTGACGAGGAAGAAAGGGATGAGAGAATTCAAGGTAGGCAGGCGACGAGTAAGTCAGTCGACAATAGTAATAATGCACTGATGATGGTGAGAGGAGAGTTCATTAAAACTTCGAGTCGCAGGCAAGTGGACTTTTGAAATATTGAAGTTGGTTCGAGTGTGGCGAAGTACGAAATACATGAGCAATAAGATATGTATTACGCACGGACCTTCAATTGAACATGTTGACAGTTCGTCGGGGACTGTCCTTGGTTTTGCGGGTCTGACGGAGAATGCGCAGACTGTTATTACGGGGTTTGTGTGAGTATCAGTAGTTTTCCTGGATGTGATCAACGACCAGGTCACCAGAAACCCCCGTCTATAGTACTGTCGAAGCGTGTGATATACGGAATATTAGATAACGCGGAGAATAAACATACGGCCCCGGGAACGACTTAGTTGCCGGGCCTCGAACCAGTCCATTCTTGACTCGATAGTAGTGGCCGACGACCGCCGCAGACCTGCTGTTGAACCAGATTACACAGTCACTGGTTGCGAATGTGACGTACTGATACTACATCGCGATCCCTTGTATCATATGGCTTTTCAAATTAATCCCCGCTTTAAGTTGCAGGTCCTAGCTCAAAAGTTGTTAATGAATGTATGTGACCAGTTCTTGATCTTTCAACCGTTCTGACATGGACATCTCACAGTGACGCTACACGGTCTAGCCAAGCTCAGGGATTGCAGCCGAGTACTGCCAGATTTTTTCGATGGCGACGAGATGAGTCGTCTGCATTTCTTGACCAGTTCTTGGTCTGACCTCTGCGCTCAGTGCTTTTCAGCAAGCAGACCCATCCTCGTTGTTCTACACATAGCCCACACCGTACTCCCTCCGAGTCTCTCTGTGAAACCACGTGCGCCCGTCGGCGACTTTTCATCGCTCTTCAACCACACTCGCTCCAATACCGATAGAGCAACCGAATTCCAGCAATGCTCAAGGCGGTCTACCTTCTCTCATTGTCGTCCTTATATTATTGAAGTTGTTATCGTACAGGACAGAAAGGTATGTCTTCGCATGCGCTTCCAACTGTTGTGGACAATAGTCTCTGTCCAGGCACTGGTTGTTGCTCGGCGGCCAGAACATGACAAGCTGAAATGAACACAGCAACATCACAGCCAGTCGGATTGCAAAGCCCAGGCGTCTTCACCGTAATGTCGCTCTGCCTCCGCCTCGCCGTTGGAAACTTTGTATTCGCAAATATATCTGAATACTCAAATAACACCGGAGGAACTGCCAGATATATAGTACCGACGCGGTCCTGTGAGTCAGAATTGAATATTGAATTCATGCATGTATGTTGTCTCATGAGCAACGCGTTCTGCGCGCCACTATCTCAAAAGATGGGCCTGTAGACTCACCAGCAATCCCTGCCACACAAGCCCTTTCATTCAACTATTTTTTGTGGGCTTCGCTCGCATGCATAGTCAAGATGTGCTGTAGTAATCGAATGCTGACCATGTCTTCCCCGACCAGTGAGCAGGAGTCGATTGATTACAAGGTGTTATGCAAATACGACTCACTTTGGAATATGAGATGTAAAGAGCAGAGACACAGCCCTCCGTGGGTGATCTATTCACCCGATAACACAACATTTGCAATAGGCGGTCCGATAATCACCCCGTCTGGCTAGATGGCATCTGCTGCTGCTATAAGCCCGTAAGAGCTAGAAGCAATATACATATGGAGCGATAAGAGACACATCGCTGAGTTGCATCATCGGCGGCGATTTACTAATTCCCCATGGTTATAAGGTCGGTTGTATGATATACGATTTGCTAACCCACTGCTCAAATCATGGCTCCTGCAGTTGACGGTCACTTTGCTATCATCGCCGGCATTTCTCTTTCCTTTGTCGCCGTCAAGGCACTGAGGCGGTTCATCACGAAGCGACAGAATAGTCCTTCTCTTCCTCCTGGCCCAGTGCCGCTCCCACTGTTGGGGAACGTCTTATCTGTTAACGCTCAGGAGCCTTGGCTGACTTATACCGAATGGTGTGCTGCGTATGGTACGTGAAAAAATAGTATAGGGTATATGCACTGCAAAACATTATAACAGGGGACTTGGTCTTCGTGCAAATGATAGACGAGGAAATGGTCGTGGTCAATTCTCAGCACACTGCAGAAGCCTTACTGGACAAGCGTTCTCGGATTTACTCTGATAGGCCTTACCTAGCCACACTCGAGCCGTGCGTTCTTTCAGTATTCTTCTACTCGACCAGTCTGAGGCTCTTGCAGGTATGGCTTGTCAATCAACTTTGGATTCATAGGTTATGGCGATGAATGGCGTCTCTGCCGACGAATCTTCCACCAAACTTTCCGTTCCGAGTCTGCAGTAAGATTCCGCCCAATGCAGATCAGGCGTGCTCATGAGATGGTCAACAACCTAATCAATGACCCTCAACATTATCATGACCACTTCGCAACGTCAGCAAATTACCTTTATAGATTGAACGCTTATTTACCTATTTACAGATTCTCGTTATCTGTTGTGATGTCAACTGTATATGGCTACGATGCCAGTGCTCGTGATGATCCTCTTGTGCAGAATGTGGTAAAGGCACTGATCTCGGGCGTGGCCATGTTGACCCCAGAAAGAGCATTGATGCTTAAGACCTTCCCTTTCTGTGAGGGCTCAACTCTCCTAGATGAGAGAGCGTTAACATGACTGCACTTTTGTGGAATGTAGTGCTAAAGTTACCTGACTGGTGCTGGGGATCATCGATCAAGCGTACTGCTCGATCTTCGACCGAGCGCATCAATGAAATGGCCAACGCGCCATTTCGATATGTGCAACAGCACGTGGTAGGTATTTATTTTTCTCTTGGATCCAGACATTGGTCCGACCCTTGCCAAGGCAGACAGTTCGATCCTGGCTCGATCTTCGATGGTTGCAGAAAATTTGCGACGGATGGAAACGCAAGAGAAGGTATCAAATCCTGCATTCGAGAATGCCTTAAAGAAAGCAGCTACTACTGCTATTATAGGTAAGTAAACTTTTTTACAAGCAACGTTGTGTCCTTGACATAAACCAATATCACACAGGTTCATATGAGACGGTAGGCGGGTAACTCCATCATGACATCCGCCCTTTATCCTCTTTACAGACCTCGGCAATCTTGAAGGTCTTCGTTTTGGCTATGGTATTATATCCAGACGTTCAGAGCCGCGCACAAGCGGAAATCGACTCGGTGATTGGAAGAGAACGGCTGCCAACGTTTGAGGACAGAGCGTCACTACCCTACATTGATGCACTTGTGCGAGAGACTTTCCGATGGCAGCCCATTGGACCCCTTGGTATTCTTCCCTGCCAATTGATCTGGCCTGTACTGAAGATAATCTCATAGGCATACCACATGCCACCTCGAGTGATGACATATACGATGGCTATTTCATTCCAAAAGGTCCGCTGTTGTTGTCCCATCAATACAACAATCATTTATAATACCGTACATCAGGCACAATCATCACGTATAACATATGGTCCGATATGTTCCTCCAAGCTTTTGTAACACTGACTTGATTTTAGGGGCATTACACGGGATGAAAAGCGGTACCCCGACGCATCTCGCTTTATACCAGAGAGGTTCATTGACGTTGATGGCGCGTTAACAGGTGATGACCCCGCACAATACTCCTTCGGCTTTGGCCGGCGTATATGTCCAGGTTCGCTAAGTCACTTAAATTGGATAAAAAATTCGTTATAAATAGACTTTACTCAGGGCGGTATACCGCTGATGTTTCTGTGTGGTCTGCCATTGTGACCATGCTGGCCACATTAGATATTTCTTCTGCCAAAGATGACCAGGGCAAAGTGATCAGCTTTACTCCCACGTTCACCACGGGAGTGGTTCGGTACTTGACTCCCTTGTGTCGGTCTATTCTCTTATTACTAACAGCTTCGTTACTTCAGCTGTCCCGCGGCCTTCCCTTGCAGTATCTCAGCACGGTCGCGCGTCCATTCAGACCTTGTAGACTGTTGGCGAACTGCCGAGTTTTGACATCAACGTCGCACTTTAAATTTGCGCGCTAGGAAGACCGAATGAATGTACAATTACAGTTCTAGGAAGTGCTTGCACCGGAGCTTTCTCTCCTTCCCTAACGTCTGACTCTGGGATCAGCTTGTTTGTATACGAGACAATATATAATACGATATCGAGATTGATACGATGCAGATACTATTCATGTCGAAATGTTAATGACCCATGCTTCGCAGCTACAATATCTCCAGCATCCTGACATTCATCATGTCCCTCGCTTGTGCGATGATATTGTTATCCGAAGCAATTCTCTTATACTCCCAACCACGCTGTTGCGCTAGCAAAAGTGCGCCAAAAGGACGAGCAAGGCGAACGAGCAACTTCAACCCTCTGGTAACCAGCTCACCATCTCCAGGTTCAGCAGACCAATCATCCACGCTCTACGACTCGTCTGTAGAGTCCTCGAGATTATGCCAATTGCACGGATAGACAAGCAGAAATGTCTGCCGAGTACGCCTTGCAGGCGAGAACTGAACAAGCTTGTATTCTGTTATGACCAGCAGGTCTTGTAGCCTGTCTGCCTTGACTTCATATGTGAAACATTTGTCCCCGTCTCCACCAGGCCTCCGCTTGACTTCTGTGAGAGGAAATACAATGCAAGGCAATCGCAGTCTGTCGAGGTTCTCAAGAGTGGTATACAGTTTCAAAGCCGACTCCACAGCCACGATATTGTTTCGCAGCGTCGAGATTGAATTCTGCATTTCGTCTTCGGATAGAGATGGCAACATGCATGGCAGAGCCTTGTATGATGAAATGTTGGCTGGGAGGCAACTGTTGAAGTCGGATGATTGTCCCATCCGATCAAGGGCTGCGATGTCGCCTGAACGAGCTATGATCTCCTGTAAGAAACGTCCTAGCATCTTCTGTCTTCCTTCTCCATAGATTATAGGAATGTGGATGCCGAATATCCCAAACAGCGAATACGCGATGTTTTCATCACGCGCAGTGATACGCGTTGATGCCCATTGAAGTTTCTCTTGGGCATCTCTCAACCCCGGGCGGAAGGCGAGGAGCGCCCGCGGGTTTATGCCAGTCGAATGCTTCAGCTCCTCCATAATACTGACAGACTCCTTGTGGTTGCATGAGCGGTTGTCGAGATACAGAGTCCAATCAGCTTGGTAGAAGAAAATGACTTTCGGGGCCAGGAGTTCTGGAATACTCCATGCTCGCGTGTTCCAAGCTCTGTTTGCGAGCGTGCCCGACTTTGATGAAGAAGGAACATCTGATAGGTAGACAATGGTGAGTGCTGAGCAGTGATACCAGATGAACATGGAGTGATCTGAAACCTGGAGCTCAACAATGTCGAGCCGGTTGATGCAGCACGTATCGCTCCACGCCAAACGATGCCCCGCATCGCGAGCAGCTTTGCAGAATTTCTGTAACTTCACTACGGTTCCAGCCGGGTCCAAATCGTATATGGTCTTATGCTGAATGTCGTACAGCGTTGGCTCCTGGGTTTCCCACCTGTACGATAACATGACCCACGAGTACTGCGTGACCGCTTCTTTGATGGGCTGCATTTGGAGAGGCACTGATGAATGTAAAAGCTCTTTATACTCTTTACTCTCCGTAGATGCGTTGATCTGCGCATGTAGAGGTGTTGATTAGACGAAGTGGAGTGTTCTCCAGTCGGGCGTGAATGGCTAGTCGACTAGCATCTTCTACTTCAAATTGACTGACGTATTGGGGGTGTAGCTCTGCAAAAATGCGAGTGATTTTCAAGTCAGGCACACTGATGTCACGAAGCATACGCGACGAGGCGTTGACAGGGTTATCATCAATGACATGACTGGTAGATACACCGACACCACCATGCGGGAAGGGAGAACCTTAAAAGTCGTGCAAGTCGCTGATCACAAATCAGTGGATGTGCAACCCACGCGTGGCTGTGATCACCGTCTTTTGTGGTAGACTGTTGGGTAGTAGCCTCTAGGCTCGTGACCAGCATGGCGTATAGTTGATAGCCAGACTAGTTACGAGTCTAAGTAGCCTCGGCGTTGGAAGAGATGGTCACTGGGGCCTATTTGTAAATGTTTAGTAGAAACCGTCTGGTCCCGATGCCATCTGACTCATCAAAACTCCGATCAGTCGGTCCTTCAAGTCACAAGGGTTCTACGTACTACCTTCCACTGGCACGAAAGCTTACAGCTACTTTTGAAGGCGAGAGTCCAATATTAATGATGCTGCGGAACCCTTGGCTTATAAGTTGTCTACAGTCTGAGCTCAAATACTCTACTTCTACTTTACAGTTGCCTCGCTTTCCGTTCGCTCCGTCCAGATGGTGGCTAGTATATGCATGTATGTATCTCGATCAGTACTTTACTCTGCTATCCGTGCGTCGCATGATGGGCTCAAACAGATCATTGCAAGGACACAAACCTGATGCACGATTTGCACTCACATGGGTGATGACGCGGCTCCGATAAACGTATGTATGGATGCAATGTCCAGTCAGCTCCGAATCTTTAAGTCTCTACTCCGAGTCCCGGCTCAGCACACCTCATCTTCTTGCTATGTTCATTCGCGATAGAGGAACCATGAGTCCGCGCGATTTATTCCTGTTCCTTCTCCGTGGCCTAGATGGATAAAAGCGCATCTGAGCAACGATGAATTACAGTCATCTCAGACAAAGTAATTCCGCAAACACGTAGAATCAGCTGTCTGGGCATCAAGGGCCGGGTTCATTGCTAGATGTGCCGGGTAATTGCAGCTTGCCGCCCGGTACGAGTGTGGGCGGACAGATCACCGACTTCAAGTAGTGATACAACGAGAAATGGGTTTTGTCTACATAAACCTCGTCTAAAATATACTTTGAGACGCCATAACCAAAATAAATACGACGGATCCTCGACCAGATATCTCCTCCATGTGGAACACTCAGCAACCATTTCCTACACAGTACTGCTAGTTGGTACATGTACGCGCTCCTGGAAGATAATCGAATTCATGCTAGTTTCTGCGTCGGATTCGGCCACGAGTCTAGCGTAATATTGTCGAACGCTAAGGATAAGGCGTGGTCCCAGCACAAACATCTGCACGGGTAATAAAATTGCCACAATACCATAGACTGTCGCAGATGTTACAGAATTCGAATTCTACAAAAATGATGAGCAGTAGTTACATGTAGAAGTCAGTGACATGTTGGCGCACCTGGAGCTCCGAAGAGAGGGCAACAAGCTGGAGGCAAGAGACACCGGCAAAGCTAGCACATGCGGAACTTGAGCGGAAGACCATAAGCACATTCGCATTACAAGCTCACCTTGCAAAATAAAGCACGTGAGATTCCATCAGCACTCTGAAACAGTCCCCGATGGTTGATCCCGTCAATGGGCCGAGTCGTCGTAGGTCACGGAAGTGTTTTGCAGCGATCCAGACTGAAAGACACAGTGCGAGGACCTCCCAAACAGTGTTGAGCATCCAGATCATTGACACCAGAAGCTGGGAATCGCCATCATATGTGGCAGCGTATATATGAATACCAGAGAGTATGAGATCCTCTGGTATTTGTCCAATGAGTTGTGTTCTTCAATTCAACGACTAAAGCCTACCCGATACGAAATGATACTTGAGTCCTATGATCGCGATTGCTCCGCAGGCGAAGTTTACAGCTAGGAAGATGACAACAAGGAAGATAAGCATACTCCTAGATCTCTGGTACATGGCATGCAAACGAGCAATCATGATGACTTGTATCATATTTCAGTCGAGTCGGTATCACTGAGGTATCGCAGCTGGGCAACTCACCGTCCAACATGGCAGTCGTGACCACAACTGCCCCATTTGTTGCATAGTTTATGATATTGCCTGAAACACCCGATTAGCGTTCACTCTCGTACTAGGATAAAACGCTCCGACTCACACCTATTGAGTCATTATGTGGAGCCAAGTCTAATGGTCAAATCGCACTCACTCCTACAAATGAATGTATTTATTGGATGGAAATGAGATGGTTGCGGGATACTCACTGCATCTGTCAGCGAGACCAATGGCACGTATTCTGTGCGCCGGTGGTCAAAAGAATGAAACATGATGGATATGAGACATACCCAGAACGCCAGCACTGATCATGAGAGATGGCTATCAGTACAGCAACTACTTTTTGGCCTTGATTAACATACACAGAAATCAATATTCCCACATAGCGTATCTAGAACAATTTGGAGTCAGCACAACCACCAACGATGCTATGGTATAAAATGAGGTACGAACGACTAGGTACAGCACGGTCATGAAAGACCAGCGTTGGGTCTGTCACGAACTCATTGTTTTTGTTCTGATATGGGACTCTGTGACTCACCCAAATGAGGTCAATCTATGACACCATTGTCAGCAAGTTGGGTGCGCCGACGGCAATAGCATCAACCTACCTCTTGTGCGAGTGTTAATACTGGAAATACCATGAGAATATCAGCAATTTCAGGACACTGTGCTGCTCACCCCAATCGTATACCACCACGAAGGCTGCAGCAACTGCGAAACCAAAAGTCGATATAAAATCAAGACATAACCAACTGATATGGCGAACCTATCCAATAGCTGAACAAAATGCTGAAATTGATGACGGGCCACCAACTGAGATTATTTGAGACTACGGTCATATTTGAGGATGGGGGATATTAATATTGGGTGTGTATGACGACCTAGCATTTATATACCAGAGGTCAGCTTGTTTTGCTAAAATCGGCATGATGGTGATCGGCCTATTTGAAAGTAGAATTTAATTTGCACTACTGAAGTACTGCCTGAATCTTCTCACGCGGGCGGCGAGGGTCATGTGCACTTTTTCTATGGAACAAGAACTTGGGCATGATACCAGTTCACCTACTCCACAAACTATTTAATTTACCCTCCTCCTCGCGGGTACATGACGGTCAACGTTCCATCTTTCAATATCCAGAACGTTCTCTAACCAGTACCCGGTCTTAATACCAGGAATACCACTCAATCTCTCTTTGCAAGTTTGCACCGACCCGGCCTCACCGCTCACCAGATTAAAATCCACGTGTAAGTATCATACGTCCCGTTATTTGGCATAGCTCCAACTCAATTTCCGACCTGATAGTCCATTATACGACCCGATTTAGAGACCTTTATAGCGTCTTTTTTACAATGTCGACAGCAACTTGAACGCCGTCTGCGCCTTCATCATCTTGTAAAAAATTACTTACATCTGCACAATCAAACCTGGGCCGACTCTCTGCCGTCATTAATCCCTGCATGAACTGTGTTTACTTGAGACGATGGTGTCGTCTTCTGTGACAGCCGCTATCCTCACTTTGCGTTCATCATTCATACATGCCTCGAGACTCAATCTAGACCATCAACACAAGGTAACCATCAATACGGGACACAAGGTAGTCATCAACACGGGACACAAGGTAACCATCTTCCGTCAATGATTCCACATTTTTTGTCCTCAGATAACTGATGCATTAGTGATACTTTGTCGGGTGCGCTTTACTCCTCGCCCAGCACAGATAGTCTGCGTGCTGATCTGACACAGTATCAGCCGTCTAAGGTTTCACGGCTCGCTGCCACTTCTTCTTTTGTTTTGCTCAGGTAGTGACATGATAGAGTCGATGTGATCTGATCAAAGTATGTATATCAAAATATTGTAGTCAGCGCCTTACTGATACTTTTACAGGAGCGTTTGATACCTTCCAAGTCCTGACTTGACGCCCGCTTCCCATCTATACTCCTTTCTCAGCACTTTTCATTCCCTTGCCATGCGCATACATTCTTGACAGAGGGCCAGGCATATACTCATCCCGTAAGTCTGTTCTAAATTGTCATGCTCGATATCGTCGAATCATGCTTGAATAGACGTCGATCAGCGATTGATTGTGCCAGTAGCACCCAAAACAGAATGGATCTCGATCTGGTGTGACGCCCATCACAACAATCCATACCAATAGTTTCTGAGGACATTGACAGCCGACCTTCACCCTTCACGCACGACTCATTACTACTTCCCTACTGCCCAGATGGATGATATCGGGGTGGGCATGCGTCTGGCTTGTTGTCTGGCTTGTTCCACTCTCATCTACGACCCTCAGTCATTCAGCATAAAGGATTCGATTGACTCAAGGACGCCATCGAAGATGGACAGCGTGGAGAAGGGCCATCAGCGACGAGTCCATTTAGAGACTATCCAATAGCTTCCTATGCACGCCCTGAGTCAACCATGTAAGTCCCGAGCAAGACTCTGTCGTATCGTGTCACTGAGAATTCGCTGGCTTTAGGTAAACTCGAATAAACAAAACAGAGCCAGCCGCAAAAACTCAAAGTGGTAGCAAATCGGGGATCTGATTCCTGGTACATTTGACAGATACTCTCGGCAAGTATGCCTGCCTGCTCTCCCTTCAAGTTTGTGTATCTGATGTATCCGATCGAAGCCTTATCTAGCCTATCTGATCATCCCACTCTTCTGATTCATCATGCGTCCATTCAGTATGGAGTTGGACTTTGTCCGCCATAATTGAACATCCAAGCATCGTATCCGAGCCTTCTCATCATCGATATACCTTGTGTCCCCATCCATCCATAGAATCATTGATCATAGTCACTCACTCTCCTTACGATCATCTTGTGTTGAGTGGTCTTGCATATCACCTGTTATTCACAAGTTATCTTCTTTAATTGGTTGTCACAACAGCCCACGTGAGAAGCATTAATCTACGGTACCCTATAATGTTCCTTTGAAACATCTTCGAATTTAGACCCACGTACTTGAGCTGGCAGATGATCACATGAAGTGATACGCTGTCTTTTCGATCGTCTATCTCCTGGCCCTAACGTCGGTGTCGATGATGAATATTTGTATGTATGTATGTTTCTTGTTCAGTGCTTTATTCGTGCTTAGCAGGATGAGCTGCAACAGATCTTGCAAAAACGCAAATTCGACACACGATTTGCAGTCGCATGCGCGCCACGCTACGATGGTGCGACTAAGTGTAGTCAATACCTCATGAATAGGTTGACAGATCAGTACTCGAGGCTTTCAT